TGGCGACCTATTATTTTTACGGTTGAATCCATGTATTGTGCGGACTTTCATTATGACAGGAAGCGAGTTTGGCGTTGGGTAAGTGAGAGGTATGCTGAGAGGATCACGGTAATTGTTTGGGTAGGGATCAGTTTTGATGATCGGACTGACATGAAGATGGTTGAATGTGGTTGAATGTGGTAGCCTTACAGTCTTACGGTGTTGGGACGAAATCCTTCATCCAACTGTATGGCACTTTGCGGGTTCTGTCAGTCCTGTATTTGTACTGATGGCCTACAATGCTAGACCACATAGAATTAGACTTGTCAATGAATATCTTCAAACAGAAAATGTCGAGCGTATGGACAGGCCTAGTCTTTCACCTGACCTTAACCCTGTCGAGCATGCGTGGGACATGCTACAGCAACGCATTACCGATTGTCCGCGATTTCTTGTCAACCTTTTTGAATTTTCAGCGCCATTGGGACTTTTACTTTGTTTAAGAGAGTTATGAACATTTTTTCGTAACCATACACGACATGCTTGAATGAAATTGATTTAAAGTGGGTCAAATCGTGTTCTTATTGTTGTACCTCACTCTTGTATTTCACATTCCAAAAGATTTTTGTCTTGTGATACAAATAATTTTATCTTTAAAAAGTGATCTTTTACTTTTTGTACTCAATATAAATCTACAACTGGGAATGGATATGATAGGTAAGTGTAGCAACACATTTCCAGCTATGGCATTGTAGTGTCTGCAGGATAAAGGCAATGTAGCTGACCATTAATTCAGTGTTACACTGTAGTTTTTTTCGTATCCCTATATCAAAGATAAATTTCTTATACTTTAGGATAAAAATCCAATGTTTGGATATGGACGGGAACAATGTGACAGGTGGTCGTTTATTCAGGGGTAACTGTAGTGTTCGTCGTATCGCAAGATCCTTTCTTAAATTTTCTTTCTCTAGATCTTGTTTTTGTCCCTGCCACCGATATCCCATCTTGATGTGGGTGGCATTATGCTGTATGTATATAAAGATAAATGAGTATCTTTCAACCGTAGAAATGTATTTTTGAGTTCACAGGAGGGAACTTGAAACACGAATCAAGATTATTAAACAGCTTTAAGGAAAAACTGCCCATTGTTACATCCGTTACAGAAAAAAATGGGATGTGGTGACCTTAGGTATACGTGTGTAGTGGGTTTAGATCGAAGTAAGTGACTGATGTAAATATAGAGTTTACTGAGTGATGCTTTAGATAATATCTTGAAATTGATATTCACAATAGGAATGGTCCCTTAGTTTTTTTTTTTTTTTTTTTTTTCTTTTTAATCATTTCAACACAAGATATCTTGATATGTCAAAAGGTGAAAGAAAAGGATTTCACACATCTTTGACTTACTATGATAAGGTCCTCAACAAATACACTGTTAATGTAAATATGGACATAGGTCACAGTCTATATTCAATGGCAATAAACATCCTCCGATCAAACTCGACGGAGGTAAATTCAACAGAACATTCGACCAATTAAAGTTTTGTCACATTGTAACATTTTTCGTTGATTTTGATATTTATTTTTATGAAACATTTTCCAGCATAATTCACTATCATATCATTGTACCGTAGTTCATCTGTCTTTGCAAATAAAGCTGGCGTAATCATTGGATGATGGTGTCTCTTCACTTTTGAATGAGGAATTGTAGTGTTCAGAGTAGAAAGCACACTTTTTACACATCTGGAATTAGTGTATGTGTAGGGTTACGTATCAATTTCAATAAGTTCCACACGCCTCCAAACGAGAAAAGGTATACAACAAAAATACCAACAGACAAACTAACGAGTATAAGACATATCCCTCTTCATATCGCACAACGGCACCAACAGACAAACAAACGAATATAAGACATATCCATCTTCATATCGCTCAGAGAAATATAATATTTCTCAATGAAAACACCATGACAACCGCAAAACGTCCCCATAATTTTCATCTACCTGCATCTCCCGAAACCTCGACTAAGGAAACATATAAAATTGATTATTTTAACGAAACCTTTGTTTTTAGAGATAGTTTAGGTAAATGTATACTTTTCGTTTTTCAGTTTGATCCACTTTCTCTTAATGAAATGGAAATTATTATTGCATATCCTTTCACTTTCTTGATTAGTAACAATACACATCATTTGGGAGCGTGGCATTAATCATTTCATAGTACTGGTCACTATATGACATCAGGTAGACCAGTTTACGTCCAGGTCAATTTAGCTCATCACGTTGGCCATGGGATATCATTAATACTGACATCGTCATATACATCACCTTTATCATTACCTACCTTGTGCTTTCTAGCTATGTAAGTCATGTGTGGTCGTCACGTTTTTTTTAATAAGCAGAACCTCACGGACTAGATCATCCTTCATATTGAAAAAAAAAACAAAAAAAAACAAATAAAGCGTTTACACGACTTTCTATTAAACAAACACGGAACTCACTTCAAAAATCTCCTCAGTTTAACCTTTGTCCATCTCGCCCTTTGTTGAACAGGTCTGTCTTAAAGATATGATCAATACAAATGACACAATACAATGCAAGTTTAGGGTTACATACAGAGAGCCCAATTATAAAACTGTTTCACTCATCAGTGAGGCTAAGGATCTATACTGTTAAACCCTAGGAGGCAACGTAGGAAACTTAAATAAATAAAGATGGAGAGGTGCAATAACCCTAAAATGCAATATATTCCGTAACTCATTCATTTTTTAAGTGATTCATGACGAAGATAACACAGCTTTAAACGATGACGAAAATAACCCGAATACGTATACAGCTTCGTCATTTTCTAGAACACCGTAATTACTAATTAGAATAGTTTTTGTCATGAATATGAATGGCATGCATATACAATGTATATATATATAATTGGCGTTTTATATATATAATTGGCGTTTATGCCGTACCAAAATGCATACGCTGACTCGTTTACACCACCAGACAAAAAACATAATGTTTGGATCTTTTATTTAGTACCATATGCGAACTACCAATGTCAACAATCATAATTTTAAGTTATAATTAGTATCTATTCTGAAAACGAATAATCCTGACTGTCTCCACTATGAATTATTTATTTTCATAGAAAAAATAAGTCATAAATATTGATGACTGGAATTTGCAATTATAACGCAATGTCATATTTTAACTTAATAGTTTATATATACATCTTTATATAGTAGATTTCACGAGAAAGTGATTAATGTGGTGATAATATGTTTACTGCCCCTTAAAACTATCATCATGATAATTATATACGAGGTCGTTCTTTTTATCAACTGAAGTTCCACCTGTCATACTATACGTGAACGATTTATAGAGCATTAATGGGGAACAGTTCTATTTTTGATTTAGCAGGAAAATAATTACATCGCAACATCTTTTTTTTTTTAATTATAAAAGATAACGTATGTACTAAACACTCAAAATAACTACACGAAAAAATTGGAAAGTCGTCTTTTATTTTCAAATCTCACATTTCCTTTGTTAAATACAAATTACACAGTAACGCAAACAGTTTGTGTCAACAGGCAAATAATGAAACAAATGTCATATCAACGAGACGTAACATATTCAATACATCACGACTCACAATAAATGCTTATGTAGGACAGATGCAGAATATTCCATGGGGTACATATATACTGATTTGTAGAAATGTTACACTAATTTTATGTATCATCTATCAGATTATTGTTTGCGAAAAGCATCTTTAATTTGCTTATAAGACTGCCAAAGTACAGTGTTTAACAAAGCATAAGTGTTATTGTAAATTAAAAAGGTATTAAAACTACTATTTGTTTTGGCAATTAACGACACGAGTTTTTGCTTCACAATAGAAATTTTGGTAATTGGTAATATGCACTCAAATAAGTGATGATTATTAATGTAGACAAGCTCCATTCCTTACAGATATAATTATGTATAACAAAGTTGATGTTCTCGCGTTAGTTTACTATTATCGTTAGTGACAAGGATGACAGGTTTAGTCAGGTGCGTGCCATTTACAGCAGTTTGTAACGAATTAATTCTAGCTTTTATCTTGTCAATTTTTTTTTGTTTCTGTTCTGTCGTAAATATACAATAATAATTTAACAAAATATACATCATATATCAATATTCTATTTTACAGCGGTGTTGATCGTAAACAAACAAATAACAGACATTTTAAGTGACGGCAGCTGATTAGTACAATCTAGCAAGAAAGGTCCTTACAGTTGAACGCTAAATAAGTCATAAGCTTCTGATGAATTTATATTATATCATTTAACCTCATCCAGGTGTACTATTATATCACTGTTAAATAAATTTATAATATATTTAACAGTCAAGATTTAATTTTAAATACAAATGTAACTGCATATTAAACCAAAAATAAATAATTACGAAATATTTTAAGAGAATAAACTTGGCAGATTTATATACATATATGTCAAAATTCTCCTAAATTTACGAAACTAAAGCATAGACATATCGTGATAAATATACGGCACTGCTAAGCAGAACATTGCAACTATTAATGTCATTGTTAATGTGTCAGGTCAATATATCCATCGGCCAAGGTGTTAGTGATAGATTGGACTTTCCACACAGGTGCAGAAAAGCCTGACGGCCACGTCTTATGTTCAGATCTGAGTCCTTTTACGACTCATTGTTCAGAACATATAATCTTGATAAAAGAATAAGCCTTATTTTATTATATACATCACCGGTTTCCTGGTTCATATGCTAGTACAAAAATATTTATATGGATACTCTTGTGTCGACCCTGTAACACAACGTCTTCCTTTGTTGCTGGTAGCTACAGAAACCTTGTCTGGTACAGACATTTAATAAGCATTTGTAAGAGCTAAACCGCCTTTCTTTCACAGTATCTGATATATCTTTCCACGAAATTGATCAAACTAGTAACTGATGGTAGTCCGTGGTATCAATTATTACAAAAATTACGAAAGTTCTTCATCAACATCGCCATGGTCGGAATTTGTGAAGATGGTTTAGAGCAGTGGGTTGTTTTACCCAATCGATCAAGTCAGAAACTGATACTATATACACATCCCGTAAAAGCAGCACGCGATCCAGGAATTTGTTAAGCCCCGAGAGGTTATGGTGGTAATACCAGTGGAACCATTTTTGACTGAGATGTATTCCGAAAGGCGAACGATTTGATCTATAATGTCGGTTAAAATTTTCGAGTAAAAATTTGAATGTATCTTCCTTTGTATTTGGTTGGCTTTTACATCCGTCTGCATAGTTACAGCTTTCCTTTGTCTTGCTATTCATTACTGGTACTATAGGTACTTCCCAAACTCCCGCGTATGTGTCTTTTGGACATGCACCGTTTTCACAATTTCCTTTCCATCCATAGTCGAGGGTGAATGGCCACACATTCGATTTGGTAATCATTGAAGAATCGAACATAGATTTATTTTGCAAAACCTGCATTCCATTGTCACTTAAAGGCTTGAAGTCCAGACCTCTGTATCCCGTGATTTGGTTGGTGGACAAAGAGGTTGTTTGAGATAATTTTGATCTATAACTGTCAATTTCTGACGATAACAAATTCCCAGTTAGTTGCTCGAGGGATTTACTACCCTGGATAGCAATTTCAACATTATCCTTATTTAAACGATCTACCAAGCGAACAGAAGATCGAGTGGGGGACACAAACATTGTTGCTCCAATAGGACATCCGTCAGGATTCTTTCGTCGACGGGAAAACAATGAACGCATTTTTGTGAAACCCGAAAAATTGATATCTCCATCAATGGTTATGTATATGATTTGAGGGATGTCCGCTGATTGAAGGTTACCAGGGGTAACAGAGGACAAACAATTACAGGCTGGAAGAATGCACGTAACTCCTTGATTACATGTCTCCCTTGTGTTGTGCATCGTTGTCAGTTTAGCACCCAGGGATAGCGGCGTAATGGATCGGTCGAGACCCCTGTTAGGTTCAATAAGTGTAGCTTCCTCTGGAAAAGAATATTGTACAGATGAGGCTTGGAAGACAGGTGCAACCGTACTTTGTTGTAGTTTAGTTAATTCCTTGCCGGATTTGATATCAGTCTGCTTGGAGCGAACTGACGAATATACAGTGGTAGGATTAAAATTGATAAAACCTCCTGTTGTAGCAACTTTGATAGGTGGTAGTGTTGATTGTATTTTCTCAACCTTCTTGCTTTTTCGCTTTTTAGGTATTGCCCAAGTCCATAGTTCCTTGTTATTTCCAACCACGTCTTGAAAACTATCAAATAGGAAATTATGTGAATTAACGGTTTGTTTCGCTGATGGAATTTCCTTCATTTTTGAAAATTTTGACACTTTTGTCGTTTTTTCTCTCACAGATTCTGTTGTTGTTGTTGCTGCTGTTGTTGTTACCGTTTTCGGTTGTTTAGGTTGCTCTACACTTTTATGGGTTGGTTTTAATTCAGACAATTTTTTGCTTTTTGACTGATGTTCTTGTGCCTTTGGATAATTTCCCACACCAAATAGAAGACGTGATTGAACAAGATTACTCTCAGCAAACCTCAAAAGATCTCTTAATTCTTTCTTTGTATGGACGATATTTTGTCGAACAGGTGAATCTGTCGTTATTTTTTTGTTTTTATTACGAGGTGTGAGGTTCGAATGCTTGGATTTTATCATGCTTTCTTTCTTTGCATGAATCAATGAATCCTGACGTTTTTGCTCAGCAAGACGTTTTTCTTCTTTTATAACTTTTTGTTCGGCTGCCTGACGTTCTTTCATAAGCCTTCTTTGTTCTTCGCGTTGTTTACTCTTCCTTTTCATTAATAGTTCTTCTTTCTGTCTTTGTAGTTGTTCTTTCGTAGGCGTTACAGGTTTTGGATTCATCATAGAATTCCACAACACGCTTGGAGTCGTTGATGGCATACTTTGCTGTATATGATGCATCACTTGATGTCTTAATGCTTTTTGCCAGGACATTCGCGTCTTTCCTAGAGAAGTATGCTTCCTGGCATTAAGATTCGGTCTAGCCCTTTGCCTCTGTAACCAAATGTACTGCTGACGCCCTAAGGTGCCGCTAGCGAATGGTACTTTGTTCTTTGTCTGTACTGTTTTTGACGATTGAGTAGCCCTCTGCTGTGGATTTTGTATTCCGTGTTGCTGAAATAGCTTCTGCTGTGCCTTTTGTCTCTGTTTTTGTCGAAGCATAAAACTGTTTTTAGCCTGTTGTATTCGCAGTTGTCTTTGTTGTTCAGCTTGCTTATGTTGAGTATTCAACCTGCTTGTACTGGGTGAAGCCTTTACACGGGGTACTTTTTTGGGCAATCGGCTATGGTGATGCGACGTTATTTTGGGGTTTTTACATCCCCAAGGCTTAAAGTAATGTATATCTGACAGCGAAGTTGGGTTTTTGAGCCAATCAATGACCTGACTCACCGATACCATATACACGTCAGGAAGTTTGTTGAGGACCTTGATAAATCTGTCCATTGCACGGAGCCGATCGGGATAGTAAAACCAAGAAGCGTGCATATTCATACCAAATGGAGCTCTGTTTCCACTATAATATGTATTGAAATTATCCCATAGGAACTTGAATGCAGTTTCCTCGTTAGGAGGTGGAGTATGACATCCATCGACGTACACACAGTCAAATCGCTCCAAGTGGTCCATCACGGATATTACTGGTACTTCCCAGAATCCTTTATGGGAAGACTGTGGGCAAGGTTTAATTTTACAATCGTACGGCCATCCATAGTCTAATGTGAACGGTATAGGAGGTTTCTTCAACCCTTTTTTACTAATTGTGAGAGTGGCGTCGTACGTATAACCTAGCTCATTGAGTGATTTTGGCTGAGCGTCTCCGATAGGCTCCAAAAATGGACTTCGCCATCCTTTGATTTCTGACATTGGTACACCTGCCTTTCGCGCTATATTTTCTTTTTGTGATTTCGCCTCTGATTTAAAAGTCCATTTATTCATGTGGCCATGAGAGACACTGTGTGCACCAATTTCCATCCCTTTTCTGTAAAACTCGTTGACTAGACTGTATACAGTATTTGCATGAGAAACAAATAGGGTCATTTTAACAGGACATCCATTTGGATTAGTTCTGTTGGTATCAAACAGTTCTCTGTAGAAATTGGCCACCGTTGGAGTGATCGCGTCATCAAACGTGAAAAACACCATCTGTGGTGTATCGTTTCTCGCCAATATTGGCATATTGTCATTGCAGCAAGAACACGTTGGCGGTCGACAAGTGTTACGTAATATACATTCCCGACAAGTCTGAGGATTTACAGATATCACTACACTCAATAAAGCTGATAGTAATATATAACAGTTCAGTGTTGTCCGAAACAAAGACGTGCCGAACGAAATCCCGACAGTTCGAGCCATATTCAGCCTATAGTCCAACCGTAAATAAGTGTTGATATCGTCTTTCTCTCTCCCAGCCGGAGCAACTGCCTAAGTGACGTAATTCATGACTTGAATGGCCCAATGCCCCGGCTCTGGAGTTAACACAGCACGACCTGTATTGTACACGAACTGGAGACAAGTGAGCATCAGTTCGGCGGAGAGATAGCTAGATGACACTATGAGAAACGTAAGTGACAGCCCGCATGTCAAGACGTACAGAGACAAGACGCCTGAGGCTAAGAGAGCCAGGAGATTAGGACAGGCCTTATCTACCACCATCGGCTGCGTGTAATGTGGTAATTCGTTTATAAATAGGCAGAAGATATTTGAAGCCGACATTGATATAAGTATGTTTTCACTTTTGAAAGAAAAGATAATACATTGTGTTGCCTAATTACACACGAACTCTGTACTGCTGTATTTTAATGGTTTTCGTCAATGCTTTTTTTTCACTGAAGTCACTTAGAATTTATGATTTCATTGAAGAAGTATGGCATTGTGTATACTTACCAGAGGGGTCTATTTGAGGAGAATGCGTCATAATGATACCCAACACGAACATACAAATAGGAATTTCCATAACCAGCGTCTTACTGTATCAAATATCAAAACATTAATGAAGTAATTAGTTAATTAATTTCTGTTTTTGTTTTTTTATCTTGTTTTTTTTTATTCCTTCTTGTGGATTTATTATGCTGTTTTTAAATTGTAAGCTAAAAGTACGTATGGTCGTAATTTTCATTCAGATAATTTTGAATATCACATAATAAAGCTTACCAATCTTGATTAAATAAATCGTCGCCAAGAAGACAATAGATAACTTTAAAAAATACACCATGTTAATTGTTACAGTCGACTATATATCAGTGATGATCTAAACACCTTTACCGCGATACATGATAATTTATTGCTGTGCAGACAATATAGGGCACTATAGGATACGGGAAACAGCCTTAAAGGAGTATCATATTTAATATCTGTTAGGAAAACTTTTTCAAACGTTTTCAACCTGTACTCACAAATTAACCAGAAACACAAAACATCAATATTTAAACAACAAACGAATTATGTACCCAGTATTTAGCACACACGGACGAATATTACATACAATTAACTTATTACTACATTAAGATTCTTAATGCTTCACAACGGAATGCTGGATACCTCCTCTGTCTTGATAAAAATACAAGCTATTCGACGTTAATTTTAGTTTGGAAAAGACAATTGTGTGACGTCATCATCTTTGAAGATCGTATTGATACCAGACCAAGTCCAGTCATACTAAAACATAATTACAATGTCACGTATTAACACAAGGGTAATCAGTTAATCTGTTCCAATTGAATATAGATTGACAATTTGAACACTCTTTTCCCTGTCCTGACAGAAATTCATGAGTTCGATAACACATAACGTCCGACAGTGAATATATAATTACATATGATTGTCAGTGCGTGGCTTTGTATGGTATGTTAACGACAAATGACGTACTTCATTATAATAAAGGTGGAGATTATTTCATTTTTCATCCGATACGCAATAGAAACTGAAAACATGTTTGTGTGACGAAAGTTTCGGTAGTCTTATTTTATCATGTAAATCACGTGTATTGCGTGACATCATTTTCTTATCAAAACGTTTTGTAAATATACCTGAAAGTACATATACGTATATATATATACGACGTCGATGCAGAAGTCCTGACTGTTAAACATGGCAATAATTGTGTGCGGTCTTCTTACCTGATAAAAGTAATAAAGCAATTGATGTCAAATCGCAACAATGACGTAATAATGACATTATCAACGACATGTCAGGCACAAAAATGTGGTCAAAGGTCATAGTTCACGGGCGCGTGTTTACAATACAACAGGAAAATCTAATTAAAAACAAACGTTAATAACTAGATTGAAAATAGATAACCAAGAAATTAAAATTAATACTTTGTTTGGCAAATACATCAATGTTAATGCCAATTGTTTGCAATGCTATGTGTATTGAATATCTACTAACATTTTACAACATCCGTGTATATGTGTCTATTTGTGACATAGCTTGTACTGTCGGCCCTTCCCTGACATATTCACGACCTTTTTCTGTACTGTGTATCGGTTACGTCTAGGAAGTCGATCTACACCCCAATAAAATCTATTTAGTCCTACCCAGTACATAAACACATTGTATGATTAATCAAACAACAAAACAGCAAAAGTGGGATTTCGTGTAATTAGAATGATTAAATCACTGTAGGTTATGTACTGATAAATCACGGTGTGACAATAGTACAAGGAGTATACCTCGCGCAGGGTCGTACTTCATCTAATGGGTTTGGTTATTATCACAATCCTGGTTCTTCTCCTCTCCGTTCTGATGACATAAATCGTCCCTGGATAGGAACCTTAACAGATAGGCCATTATCTTACAGAAAATAAATTATACGACCACATAATTATAAAACAACAAGGTCAGGTTATTGATAAAGGTTAGTTATAGACACCTGAAGCATTTCCCCGGACTCCGAGGTTAACAATAAACTTCACTCACTTTCCATCAAATATTCTATTGTTAAACGTCCTTACTTCTACGTAATGATTGATCAGGGAGATAGTACGTTATCTACATACATAAAACGGTTAACACTACATTCATCATCACGTCAATTCAATGCTTATCTAGCTAAATAGATACATTTGAATTAACCAATATTCTCGTCATTAATATTCACATTGACATTTGATTGGAATTCCTGGACAAAATTAACACAAGGCATTGTTAGATATCGACTTATTAGGTAATGAAATTAGACCTCTAGGACCTCAGCGTCACGGAATGTTTGATTTTGCCAATCCTTGAAAACAGCATGAAAAGAGAAATCAGATATCATAGAAGTAAGCACATGCTGAAGAATTACGAGGGGGAAATACTCTCTAGAAAATTAGGATATAATCAATCTATTAATCTATTCTGCCAACTGATCAAACTGAGAACCATTAATGATCAAACTGAGAACCATTGACGATCAAACTGAGAACCATTGATGTTGATAATTTGAATACTACCTGTTTGATGTTTACGTGAGCTAAAATTTCAATTCTACAACTCCGGTGACTTCTAAATTTAGTACAATTAGCCCTTCCCCCGTGCATCATGAGAACTCGTTCAATAGTTACAAATTATAACCAGCATACCATTCCAGAACAGACAGGAGCGGTGATGACGGAATACTTTTCCAGGTTAGACAGAAGCCGTGATGACGGAATACCATTCCGGAACAGACAGAAACCGTGATGACGGAATATCATTGCGGAATAGACAGAAGCCATGATAACGGAATACTGTTCCGGAGCAGACAGGAGCCATGTTGACGGAATACCGTTCCGGAGCAGACAGGAGCCATGATGACAGAATACCATTTCGGAGCAGACAGGAGCCGTGATGACAGAATACTATTTCGGAGCAGACAGGAGCCGTGATGACAGAATACTATTCCGGAATAGAGAGGAGCCATGATTATGGAATACTATTCCGGAATAGACAGGAGCCATGATTATGGAATACTATTCCGGAATAGACAGGAGCCATGATTATGGAATACTATTCCGGAATAGACAGGAGCCATTATGACGGAATATCATTCTGGAACAGACGTTACTCTCCATTTATACTCCTGAAAGTGTTGGTATAACGATAGAACTTTGTAATGACGTTGTGACTAACAAACTGATATTGACGGAAATTTTCTCACATTTATAATAGGTGTTAGCTAATTTCGATCTGCATGTATTTGAATAATGTTTACTTATATCAAAATACATTTATCATTCATTGAGATCAATTTTATTAAAATGATAAGTTTGATTTTGTGTCATTGTAAATACGCAGTTTAACGATCTATTAGGTGTTGACGTATACAGTATATAGTTATATGATATAGAATGAGTAAGATTTGGATTCAATAATACAGGTATATGTATTACATATATAAAACTTAACCCCGGATTTTATAGCGCCAAGTCAGTACATGTACGTACTACGATGTGGAACCAAACTTTACCAACTTATATGTACGTGATTACATGTGATGCTGTAATTTTGAAATGGTCAGATATAAATTGGATAGCATCTGCAGAAGTATTCAACTGATACTCTAGACATCATGGCTCCTGTCTATTCCGGACTGGTAATCCATCATAGTAATTCCTGACTAGAAAATCGTACCATTCATCATTTTAGATTAAAGAAATGACAACACAAGCAATACAAATGTTTTGCAAGTTTTAGTTCACAACACACATACAGGTGTGTGTAGCACGTTTTTTTAAATTTTAGGATTTCCTACCTATGTATGTATGTACTATAAAACGTACAGCATTGTTAAACCTGTTGACAACGAATTAGCTAATCTGCTTTAGAATCTATTGATATACATGTAGTTATGGTTTTCATTGATTTGTCTTACTGTCGCATACACGTGCATAGCATGTCACTCGAGTCGCTGGCACGTTTTTAAGATATAACACATTACAGAATATATCAATCACGTTACTGTGTACTTATACAATATATATATATATATTTCAGCACCACGACATTTCATCTATCTTATTCACCACCTTTGTCTTATATGTTTATTGGAATGACGATAGAGAGAGGGTATAAATCACGGTTAAAGGGAGATAATTATAACCAGGATGTAGCTTGACGTGAGAAATACTAATATAAGATTGACAGGTCATGATGTTTTGTTTCTTTCCTAATAAAAGATTAGTTGAATCACTGTTTCATGAAATAAGACATGTGATGTGATTCGTTTATAATTGGCTGATCGGATGGCGCAGTGGTAACTCATTCACCTCTCACCTAGCCGTCATGGGTTCGACTTCTGTAACGGACATGAAAAGGAAGGACCAACAAGAGTGATTGATATAAGCTGCAATAACTTGTTTCGAAAGTGTCATCAACTCAATAACGTTTATATCTTATATACGTGTTAACATGCCACGATGCTATTGTTAAACATTGATGAGAGTCTGATCAGCTCCGGAAGTATTCATCATTTAACAGTATGTTCAAAGTTAACATAGGACAGATTGACTTTGTACGACCTCCACATCAATTAGTACAGATATTTGTCTTTATGCATGTATCTTTGTTAAATATCGTGATGCTATTGTTTGAAATTGATGAAAGTCTGATCATCTCCGAAAGCATTCATCATTTATCTTCAAAATGGCGCATTCGTTTACTTTAAATATCTGTCTATGAAAACGCATTACAAACCTAACATATTGCTGTCGTATGATACACCACTTATACAACTTGTTCCATATATACCTGGTGTACTTGTCATCATAAGATCAATAAATTATGAGTCGCACTTATCTGACCTTAAACATTATCGTACATCAGTGTATATATGCATATTGTAATCAGTAATTTTTTTATCGGGGTTGTTCCAGTGAAAATCTCATTTCCACAAACCAATTGATAATTTTGTATAAAATGATAATGAAAGAACGAGATGTTATATATCTATGTCGCTAAAGAAATTTACAAATAACAGCAAGAGGAACAATGGGCCTGCATCGCTCTACTGGTATTCTATGCTGTTTCACAAATACATCTTCCCCACTAAGTGTTTTCGTCAATCAGTATACCTGATAACAGTATTTCAACAATTTAACCCCGATGACCTCAACACACTTTGATGGACTTCATTTGGAGTCTTGTTATAACAGTCTCACAACTAAATATCATTATCCAGCCATATATATAAAGCTGATTAACTGTCAAAGTCTACATCGGTTATTTAAAATCTGGGTCAAGGTCATTGCTTTCTACAAACATTGTCGTGCTCCATCCCTGATGCCTTAAAGCCGTATATGAATATATTAAGCCTTTTACACTGTAGTGTTTTGTCTCACAGTAATTCAGAAAACTACATTTGAGTGTTTTAACAAATTTGAGCCATGTGACTTCGAATATAGGTTAAAGTAATTTCTTTTCGGAAAATTTCGTGTTTTTCCAAACCAACATCTAAGCCAAATATCATGATTCTATACCTTTTGATGAACCAAGTGAAACGATTAGAATGTTTTGACAAATTTGACACCTTTGACCTTACAAAAATACAAGCCAGATATCGTGAATCTAAGCATTTTGCAAAATCAGAAAATATTTGAATGTTTAAACACATTTGATCCATGTAAACCTAAATGTCGATAAATTTCTTTCCACAGTAATTTGTTTAGTCTTATCCCACGAACCTAAAAGCAAATCATCATAATTATAATGTAAGTCTTTAGACAGACGTGATTCTCGACTTTCCGATTGTTTAGAATAAGCCCTTTAACTGTTCGTATTTGACCCCTGAGACCTCGAATATTATAATTTCCTCTTTCAAACTTTGTCTGACTTCATCATACCAACATAAGAGCTACAGATATGATATCAGGCTTTCTCGTTCAAAACAAATCCCTTAAGTGCTGTTATTGAGTCAACCCTTTAAATACGAGTCAAGATCCTTCGTTTTTATAAACTGTCTGGCTTTATTTCAGGCACAAACCTGTCCAAATCGTGATTCTGGGGCCGCCGGTTTGTTCGAGTGTTCCTCAATATGTTGAATGTCTAGAGACTTACAGGCTAATTTAGAATTAACCTTTTGGCTACTGAGAAATCACTTCCTATAGACGACAGAACGACGATGACATGCATTTTCAAGCTAACTTGACCTTTTTCGTGAGCTGATACATACATGTATCCCAGAATTCAAACTAGGCAATGAATGCCTGGAGGGGCAAAAAGCAGAGAAGTCATTAATACAGCAATGTCAGGGATTAAGTGCAAACAAAGCATAATTTATTGGATTAATTTATAAAACTGTTAAGTGATATATTAATATAATTTCATAGGACCTAAGTGATATCGAAATGTCCATTGATCAAAAGTAAACGGCTCAGTAAGATCAGGGACCGCCGATCGCGTACATAGAAATAGACACGGGAGATCCAGGAACACCCACATCGATGATAATGGCTTCCTGGTACAGCCAGGTGCGCCCAATAATGTCTAATGTGGAGTTGTCAAGTGTTACCAGCACTTCCGGTAATACGTACCGATTTGAAGAAAAGTTTCCAGAAAAAGACATCTTGTCCATATAACCAACAGATTTGACGGAGGGTTGACCACAACTGGTTTTAGAACCATTGACACAGGGAACAAATGCGCAGACCTGCAGGGGATATCTGCCATTGTGTGTATGGATTCCATCAAACGCACCTAAAGCATACACTGTATTCTGGAATAACCCTTCAAAACCAGTTTCACAACATAATGTGTTTTGACAGACCTTGTAGCTTCCTCCGTATCCGGAATTTAGAAGAATGAAATTATACAGGTCGTGGTTCATCACAGCTTGGAATTCATCGCTTCCATTTACACTATTATAATGACGTGTTTTCTCTGTCATCCTTTGTGTCTTCGCTCTTTTAGTATTCTGAACTTGATCTCCGGGATCCACCGGACTGAGATCGTGTACCAGCAGCTTTCCTCCACTTCCTGCTGACATGTTGTTGTAGTAGATCTCGTTGTTCGAAGTGCCCGAGGGCCAATATATTCCGCTTCCTTGGTAGCCCTTAGATGGCACGTGCAAATTTGCAGCCATTAAATTCACGTGCATGCCTTCTGAAAATGCAGAGTGGATTTCAATAGCGGCCAGCAGTGGCAGTTCGTTCTTCCAGGCTGCAGGGTAGACGATATTTGTTATATTCATGTTCTTAATCAGAGTTATTGCTGGGTTTTTAAACATAATGTCGTTTGTAGAGAACGTGCCAAAACGTCCAAATGGCGTGGAGAATGTGGTATAGTTTGTGATGGAGGGTCTGTCAAAATGCGTTTCGTCCGAGTTTAGATTCTGTTTGAAATATCTTGCAATAAATTTGCCCTGGGAATCATACACGAGATTTGTACTATATTGAAAGTGTCCGTCTGACGGGCAGTTGTGTACATCGACACTGCATGGTTGTCTAGCCCCGAAATTGACCACTAGATATAAGGAGCTGTTTTTGGCCATACAGCTAAGCTGGCGCTGTACATCTGTATTGTTATATCGGAGGGGGTCAACACAAGGGTTCCAGGACATCGTATCAGGGTCTGGAATAAACTCAAGGTACGGGGCGAGGGTTTGTCTTGTCCAGCCGAGACCGTACAGGCCGTACTCTGGAAACACGATTAGCTCAGCTTTCTGTAAAAAAACAATGTTCACGTAAGAGTGAGGAAGAACATACCGTCTACTCTAAACTGTATCCGACAAACATGAAAAAATATTGAAAATCAAGTTTGATAGAAATTGAAACATACGTAGGACGAGCATATAGCCTACTCTACACTGTATCCGACAAACATGAAAAAAGTATTGAAATCTAGTTTGGTACAAATTGAAACACACGAAGGACGAGCCAATGTGTTTATTTATAGTAATTAATATCAATACTACGTTCTTTAGCTTTTCTGCCTTATTTTATCACATTAAGTTTCATCATGGATTTCCTAAAGAATGATGTCAAATCGTTGACGTTCTGTGTTGGTAAGCAATAAAGAATATTGACAACTAGTACATCGCGCCTTCGTGGCATGTTTTTATCTGAACCAGCAATATTTAATCAAAGTAAGTTCTACCTGTGTAGCCGCTTCTTTACACTGCTCAATGTAAACATCTAAATTCCTTTTCATAACTTTTAGCGCTGCGTCACGTGACAAAACGACTATCCTATTCGGGGGAAATATGACGGCATGTTCGTAAACCGCTGCCTTGAACGCCAATGCACAGCACACAATTGAACAAAGTACGATTAATAATCGGGGTCCCAGCAACGCCATCCTGGTAACAGAAAACTATATCAATCACATATGTATTGTAAAATGTATAGTTTGTACATACGGTAAAGAAATATCGTTAGTTATCCTAACATTTTCTGTATATGTAGTGTACTTGTGTTAACCTACTGGTTTAGGAAGGAAGAGAACATTCGCCTGTTTATCGTAGTTTTCCCACTACAGTGTGGAATAGTGAATGGTTAGGTAGACAAATATTGAAGCTGTTGGTTAACATTCTTTGGTGAGAACTGAATCACCTTCGATGATTTGACGTGTTACACTGATGAATGCAGTGATATTATGATGAAACAGAAATGTTTGGATTATATTATCAATATAACGCTGTTTATAAACAGTTTAATATTGTGAGAGAGGTGTACACCTACCTGCTTGTCGTCGAGATAAACACGGATGGTGTATAGGTTTGACTGATAACGATTTTGAAGGCCGGGTAGTATTTGTGTCCATAATACCGAATTACACTACAGTTATTAACAATCAACCTATCTCGCCTTCTGGCCTTCTGGAGATACATATTATATAAAGCGGCATGTCATTTGCAAACACGTCAGCAAGCAGCAATTTATAATTGCATTTGCTTTTTTTTCAGTGACTTCTAATGTTTATTGGGTGAATAAATGGCATGTAACAGAGTACAAAACTATATTTAACAAGCTACGATACATCTGGTGTTTCTCATATCCTTACATAAAATATCAACTAAACAATTCCGCCGATTTCACCGAGATGTCTTCGTCGTTTTGGCAAATAATATCGCTAACACTATAACGATGAGCAATCCAATTCAGTTTAGGTCTACACTGATACCACAACCAATAAAAATAGCAACCACGATAGTGATAGTTGGTATAGCGCGGTCAATATTAGACATCAACAATTTATTCTGCTACAGTTGAAAGTTTAATGAGTCGGGACGACTGAGTTGTGATACCGTAAACACTAGAGAAACAACCACGTGAATGGAACACCGCAGTTCATATTTCACATCGAAAACTTCTTTTGCTAAATTTGCTTGTTTTACAGCCATCGAGTTAGACGCCAGAGTATTCAGTTTCCATCTATAAAACCATTTCTGTCACTATTTTCTATCAGAAAATTTGATTTTTTTCAACACCATACTCCACTCTAACATGATAGAACTTTTTTTTTTTTTTATTATGAGAACTTTCTTGTACAAATATATGGTTTACATGTCGCAGCTGGTTCGATAGACAAGCTTGACGTGTTTGGTGTTCCTAAGTTTACCTGTTGGTTCCATTGTTGTATGCCTGAACGTGATATTACTCTCTCAGATTTACATGGCGGGTGTCAGCGATGAAGCATAAGGCGCTTACTCTTCCGGGATACCTTATTATCATTGTACTTCTTCAGGAGTCTCCGTGTCTATCTTACTTTTGGTCATATTTTGTCCTAGTTTTATTGAATACAAATTTGGAAAAAGATTTGGCTAATATTTTCTTGGTTTTCTTTCTTAATACAATTAGATACCATGATATGTGTGTTTGTGTGTATAATGTAAGACCTCGTCAAGTCTATTGAACACGATTCTAATTCTGCACGCCATGGACGTTGTCATCAGGGGAGATATTTGCCTCTAAAAGACATAATTATATTATATAAATCATAGTTGCAGTACGATGCTAATGAGATAAAATAACATGGTGCTATAAAGATTAATTCTATTCAGGATACTTCTGTTCATCAGATCAATCGATAGTCTTGAATCGATCCATGCTTTTAGAGTAGGGGGTCGTTTCTATTTGTCGTTTGTTGGGATTACTATGTAAAAACTGTATAAACATGTATAGAAAAGGCGAATAAATAAAGTGAGTATGAAAAATATCTTTTCAGAACAATAAGATAAAATGTCCTTTGCTTCATTGACTAAACAATAATGTTTCATATCGTGATGAAGTGAGAACCCTATACGGTACAACAAAAGTAAAGGCAATCCTTGGTACATTATGTACATCAAACCGTGACAAAAATAGGACCTTTAGAACTAACCCTTATTGGATGACGTATAGATGTATGACTACTGTATATATAATCATATCACACCTGCTTCTTCTAACATTAATCACAAACTCTGTGTATCAGTGCAATGGGAAAACAATTATACCTTATACTTTTAAACATGCAAATTTTTCACATTTACATTCAATTCATAATCGTCTACTAAAACACTGAATATGTAGGTGTGTTACCTCTGTGGTTTATCTACTTCATTAAATCATTTGTGAAAAACACTAATTCTGTTGTCTTTGTGGCACAAACTTACTGGTTTATGGATAATGTTTCAGGATGATGAAATATAAAGAATCAACTAATTCCTGTTCACACTATGGATTTCTTTGTAATTGATATTTTCATTTTCCTTGGAGTTTTTATACCTGGTGTTAGTATGCTTTATACAGTATAAATATGATTCCCTGTTGTTAACTGGATACAATACGTAAACATGATCACATGTTCCGATTCAAAGTAATCTTTCTGAGAGATTTCTGGACTTCTTCCATATACCCATTACATTCCCCATTTCTGAAGTTTACAATGTGTATGTTTTTTGTGTTTGCCTGAATACACAGTTGTCTGAGTTTGAATACAGAATGTTGTCAGTGTTTGCTTGAATACAGAATGTTGTCAGTGTTTGTCTGAAAACAGTTGTCAGTGCTTGCCTGAATACAGAATGTTGTCAGTGTTTGCATGAATACAGAATGTTGTCAGTGTTTGCCTGAATACAGAATGTTGTCAGTGTTTGCCTGAATACAGAATGTTGTCAGTGTTTGCTTGAATACAGAATGTTGTCAGTGTTTGTCTGAAAACAGTTGTCAGTGTTTGCCTGAATACAGAATGTTGTCAGTGTTTGCCTGAATACAGAATGTTGTCAGTGTTTGTCTGAATACAGAATGTTGTCTGCGTTTGCCTGAATACACAGGTGTCTGTGTTTGCCTGAATACAGAATGTTGTCAGTGTTTGCCTGAATACACAGTTGTCTGTGCTTGCCTGAATATAGAATGTTGTCAGTTTTTGCCTTAATATAGAATGTTGTCAGTGTTTGCCTGAATACACAGTTGTCAGTGTTTGCTTGAATACAGAATGTTGTCAGTGTTTGCTTGAATACAAAATGTTGTCTGTGTTTGTCTGAATACACAGTTGTCAGTGTTTGCCTGAATACAGAATGTTGTCAGTGTTTGTCTGAATACAGAATGTTGTCAGTGTTTGCTTGAATACAGAATGTTGTCAGTGTTTGCTTGAATACAGAATGTTCTCAGTGTTTGCCTGAATACACAGTTGTCTGTGTTTGCCTGAATACAGAATGTTGTCAGTGTTTGTCTTAATACACAGGTGTCTGTGTTTGCCTTAATACAGAATGTTGTCAGTGTTTGCCTGAATACACAGTTGTCTGTGCTTGCCTGAATACAGAATGTTGTCTGTGTTTGCCTGAATATAGAATGTTGTCAGTGTTTGTTTGAATACAGAATGTTGTCAGTGTTTGCCTGAATACAGAATGTTGTCAGTGTTTGCCTGAATACAGAATGTTGTCAGTGTTTGCTTGAATACAGAATGTTGTCAGTGTTTGCTTGAATACAGAATGTTGTCAGTGTTTGCCTGAATATATGTTGTTGTTTGTATTTGCCTGAATACAGAATGTTGTCAGTGTTTGCTTGAACACAGAATGTTGTCAGTGTTTGCTTGAATACAGAATGTTGTCAGTGTTTGCCTGAATATATGTTGTTGTTTGTATTTGCCTGAATACAGAATGTTGTCAGTGTTTGCTTGAACACAGAATGTTGTCAGTGTTTGCCTGAATATATGTTGTTGTTTGTATTTGCCTAAATCTGCAATGTTTTTTGTGTTTTCCTGAATATACAACAATGTTGAAAATTGAAAGCGTTGTTTAACTAGTGCCAAATTCATAAACATAATCACAGATATGGAAAAGATAAATGACACAGGTGTGTCAGTTCCCGATATTTCCTTGTTAAACAGCTGACATTCTCGCTTGATATAGTTGATTATTGGTAAGTAACTTCTGTTACCACTGAGGACCAACTGTGAGGTGATTCTAATCACCAGTGAAGTTACCCAACTCTTTTGTGTTCTTTCTCACACAAGTCATGTTGTGACCTACAGTCAATCTTACTCCTCATGGTCACTGTTTACACATACTCATACTAACACAACAATACATGTACATTGTTATCAACTTTATTGCATATACATCCTCAACTGTGGTAACTTGTCTGTTATGGATTCCATACACTTCCCTAGACTTGTGTCGGGGTTTTGTGAAGAGAATTCCAGTAATGTAGACAATAACTCTGCCTTTCTCATGCGATCTGAAATAGAAAAAAATGTATATAATTAATGATGAAATTGTCTGCGGGAAATACACAGGTTCATTGGAATGTAGAGAGAAAACATTTCAGTTTACACAGACAGACTATTTTTTCTTTATATAGAATTGTATATTGATGGCGATAACAGACTTGTTCAACCTATTTATAGTTTTGTTATATGTAGAAGTAAATTTTCTCCCCTAATTCGAAGCTAGTTACATTGTAGGTTTGTCTTTTACTATATGGAAGTCAATGATCATACAAGTAACAAGAGGTAAATAGGGCCTGAAGGTTTGGCTCTAATGGGAGGTAAGACTCACAGTTTGTACAGAATAAAGTAGCCTTAACCAAAGGATGCTTCAAATCAAATTTGAACAAAACTGAACCATTTCAATAGAAGAAGAATTTTGAAGAATTTGCTCTATTTCCCCTATTTTAGCCTTGTCCCTCTTGCCCCAGGGGGCCAAGAACCACTATTGATACAAAATTGATCCCCTTCACCCAAGCATGCCTCAGATTAAACCAGAACAGAATCCAGTCATTCCTACTGAAGAGAAATTATTTTAAAGAATTTGCACAAATTCCCTAATGAACCCAACCTATCCCAACAAAGGGAGCCACGACACATCATTTTTAAGAAATGGGGCAAAGCCACAATTGGCCGGGTTGCGGGATGAGTGCAATGTGATATGGTATTTATAGGACAGTTAAGGGTGTTTCATATATATAAACATCCTAGAAAGTTTCAAGCTTCTACTATGTGCAGCCCGGCCAAAAATTATTTCAAATTTGCCCATATGCTTCAGACTAATATGGTCGAAATTAAATTATCTCTACACGGGGAGAAGGATTTAAAAGGATTACTCTAGTTCCCATATTGGGCCTGGTCAAGGCCTGCTGTTTATGCAAAATTGATTTTAGGTCTTACCAGGCCCTAGGAGGTTTATGGGTCAGAGAAGATGCATTATAGGTACATTTATAAGTTACCCAGGACGATGTTACTGATTCACGTATGAGACGTGCAGGATATAAAAATAATGCTGAATATCAGTTCTATATAATATAAACCTCATTGTTTGTAAGGCCAATGCGATGGAAGTTGTGGCCAGTTTTGAGCTGGTGTCTACTTACTGCAATTTTGTATTGCTTCAGACAAGTTGTTTTCAAAAGATACCATGGCATCTATATCATCGGACTTGACCAGCGTATCAAGAAGAGTGTCAATCAACTTTGGCTACAAATTAAAACAAAATAACAAATAAAACAAAAACAACAAAAGTGAAGAAAACACAATATAGAATTACATTCAGAATGTATATCTAATGCTTGTTTTTGATTTAAAACAGAATACTAAATTCATTAACAATAGATTTTTCAATTTCAATTATACACATTTTCTTGAGACTAATGCTAACAATAATTCATAGACCCATTATCAAGCCATCAAGGTATCCATACATAAAGTAAAACCTGTTCCAAAGTGGGTTTACTGCCACACAACAAATCTAGTCTGTCAAGAAGTAATTCCTGGTGTCTGAAGTATGATTTAAAATAACAAAACATCTAATGGTGTGTTACAAAGCATAAAAATGAAAGTATCCTTGGAATCCTACCTCTTATGAAGAGTATTGCATTGATAAACAGAAGAAAGCCCTTCAGTGTCCCTTACATTACTCTAAGTATGGGCCCGAGTCTCCCAATTCTGACATCATTGCCTAAAGTATGCAATTTAGTGTTGTGTCTGATGTTATATCTTATTGTAAAAAACCTAATTGTTTTCAAATAATTATTATTTTCTTCTGGAAAATGTTCTGTTTATCCAGTGATGCTAGAATACATGCATTACTGACTGAAATTATAAGAATTTTTTAAATATCCTTATAAAATACTGACTTAGCTGTAAAATGTTAAAAACAGAAAAAGAAGAGATGATCAATTGGATAAGATGTGAACATGATGTCACAATAGTATGGGATAAATACGAACCAAACCTGTTGTGAAATTGAGAGGTAACATGGCTTGATGGGATGGAATAGAATATCGTGGGTTATGCTTCAATTTATATGCCCCAACGACCTTCCCTCCCCCCTAAAATGACAGGGTAATAAAAACAACATTTTTCATCACTATGACATCCTGCTCCTCACCTTTTGGCAAAAACAAAAATATATGATTATTCAGATCAACCTGGTCTTCCCTTACCTTTCTAAACAGGTTCAGTAGTAACCTCTGTATCACAATGCTATTCCTAGCCATGACTACTTTCAGGAATGTCGGATTTTTCTGCAATGAAATGTAGATCTATTTCAAAATATACTGCAACTAATGATTCTTTCTGTTATAACTTAGAACTATCATTTTTGTTCTTTCTTACTAACTTTCTACATTTAAGTTTCAGCGAATTTGTCTTTGTATGATATGATACAGTGCTACAAGATGTCTATATATCTGCCACTAGGATTTGTCTTTGTATGATATGATATAGTGCTACAACATGTCTATATATCTGCCACTAGGATTTTTGTTTGTATGATATGATACAGTGCTACAAGATGTCTGTATATCTGCCACTAGGATTTGTCTTTGTATGATATGATACAGTGCTACAAGATGTCTATATATCTGCCACTAGGATTTTTGTTTGTATGATATGATACAGTGCTACAAGATGTCTATATATCTGCCACTAGGATTTTTGTATGATATGATACAGTGCTACAAGATGTCTATATATCTGCCACTAGGATTTGTCTCTGTATGATATGATACAGTGCTACAAGATGTCTATATATCTGCCACTAGGATTTTCTTTGTATGATATGATACAGTGCTATGTCTATATATCTGCCACTAGGAGATGTCTATATATCTGCCACTGTCTTTGTATGATATGATACAGTGCTACAAGATGTCTATATATCTGCCACTAGGATTTGTCTTTGTATGATATGATACAGTGCTACAAGATGTCTATATATATATATCTTTGCCACTAGGATATCTGTCTTTGTATGATATGATACAGTGCTACAAGATGTCTATATATCTGCCACTAGGATTTTTTTGTATGATATGATACAGTGCTACAAGGATTTTCTTTGTATGATGTCTATATATACTGCCACTAGGATTTTCTTTGTATGATATGATACAGTGCTACAAGATGTCTATATATCTGCCACTAGGATTTGTCTTTGTATGATATGATACAGTGCTACAAGATGTCTATATATCTGCCACTAGGGATGTCTATATATCTGCCACTTGTATGATATGATACAGTGCTACAAGATGTCTATATATCTGCCACTAGGATTTTTCTTTGTATGATATGATACAGTGCTACAAGATGTCTATATATCTGCCACTAGGATTTGTCTTTGTATGATATGATACAGTGCTACAAGATGTCTATATATCTGCCACTAGGATTTTTGTTTGTATGATATGATACAGTGCTACAAGATGTCTATATATCTGCCACTAGGATTTTTGTTTGTATGATATGATACAGTGCTACAAGATGTCTATATATCTGCCACTAGGATTTTTGTATGATATGATACAGTGCTACAAGATGTCTATATATCTGCCACTAGGATTTGTCTTTGTATGATATGATACAGTGCTACAAGATGTCTATATATCTGCCACTAGGATTTGTCTTTGTATGATATGATATGATACAGTGCTACAAGATGTCTATATATCTGCCACTAGGATTTGTCTTTGTATGATATGATACAGTGCTATAAGATGTCTATATATCTGCCACTAGGATTTGTCTTTGTATGATATGATACAGTGCTACAAGATGTCTATATATCTGCCACTAGGATTTGTCTTTGTATGATATGATACAGTGCTACAACATGTCTATATATCTGCCACTAGGATTTTTGTATGATATGATACAGTGCTACAAGATGTCTATATATCTGCCACTAGGATTTTTGTTTGTATGATATGATACAGTGCTACAAGATGTCTGTATATCTGCCACTAGGATTTGTCTTTGTATGATATGATACAGTGCTACAAGATGTCTATATATCTGCCACTAGGATTTGTCTTTGTATGATATGATACAGTGCTACAAGATGTCTATATATCTGCCACTAGGATTTTTGTATGATATGATACAGTGCTACAAGATGTCTATATATCTGCCACTAGGATTTTTGTATGATATGATACAGTGCTACAAGATGTCTATATATCTGCCACTAGGATTTGTCTTTGTATGATATGATACAGTGCTACAAGATGTCTATATATCTGCCACTACAACATGTCTATATATCTGCCACTAGGATTTGTCTTTGTATGATATGATACAGTGCTACAAGATGTCTATATATCTGCCACTAGGATTTTTGTATGATATGATACAGTGCTACAAGATGTCTATATACACTAGGACATGTCTATATATGTCTTTGTATGATATATATCAAGATGTCTATATATCTGCCACTAGGATTTTTGTATGATATGATACAGTGCTACAAGATGTCTATATATCTGCCACTAGGATTTGTCTTTGTATGATATGATACAGTGCTACAGGATGTCTATATATCTGCCACTAGGATTTGTCTTTGTATGATATGATACATACAAGATGTCTATATATCTGCCACTAGGATTTGTTTGTATGATATATATCTGTCTATATATCTGCCACTAGGATTTATCTTTGTATGATATGATACAGTGCAACAAGATGTCTATATATCTGCCACTAGGATTTGTCTTTGTATGATATGATACAGTGCAACAAGATGTCTATATATCTGCCACTAGGATTTATCTTTGTATGATATGATACAGTGCTACAACATGTCTATATATCTGCCACTAGGATTTATCTTTGTATGATATGATACAGTGCTATATCTGCCACTAGGATTTTTGTATGATATGATACAGTGCTACAAGATGTCTATATATCTGCCACTAGGATTTGTCTTTGTATGATATGATACAGTGCTACAAGATGTCTATATATCTGCCACTAGGATTTGTCTTTGTATGATATGATACAGTGCTACAAGATGTCTATATATCTGCCACTAGGATTTGTCTTTGTATGATATGATACAGTGCTATAAGATGTCTATATATCTGCCACTAGGATTTTTGTATGATATGATACAGTGCTACAAGATGTCTATATATCTGCTAGGATTTGTTTTTGTATGATATGATACACTAGGTCTATATATTGCCACTAGGATTTTTGTATGATATGATACAGTGCTACATGTCTATATATGTCTATATATCTGCCACTATATATTGCCACTCTTTGTATGATATGATACAGTGCTACAAGATGTCTATATATCTGCCACTAGGATTTTTGTTTGTATGATATGATACAGTGCTACAAGATGTCTATATATCTGCCACTAGGATTTGTCTTTGTATGATATGATACAGTGCTACAAGATGTCTATATATCTGCCACTAGGATTTGTCTTTGTATGATATGATACAGTGCTACAAGATGTCTATATATCTGCCACTAGGATTTGTCTTTGTATGATATGATACAGTGCTACAAGATGTCTATATATCTGCCACTAGGATTTGTCTTTTTATGATATGATACAGTGCTACAACATGTCTATATATCTGCCACTAGGATTTTTGTATGATATGATACAGTGCTACAAGATGTCTATATATCTGCCACTAGGATTTTTGTATGATATGATACAGTGCTACAACATGTCTATATATCTGCCACTAGGATTTTTGTATGATATGATACAGTGCTACAAGATGTCTATATATCTGCCACTAGGATTTTTGTATGATATGATATGATACAGTGCTACAACATGTCTATATATCTGCCACTAGGATTTGTCTTTGTATGATATGATACAGTGCTACAAGATGTCTATATATCTGCCACTAGGATTTGTCTCTGTATGATATGATACAGTGCTACAAGATGTCTATATATCTGCCACTAGGATTTGTCTTTGTATGATATGATACAGTGCTACAAGATGTCTATATATCTGCCACTAGGATTTGTCTTTGTATGATATGATACAGTGCTACAAGATGTCTATATATCTGCCACTAGGATTTGTCTTTGTATGATATGATACAGTGCTACAAGATGTCTATATATCTGCCACTAGGATTTGTCTTTGTATGATATGATACAGTGCTACAAGATGTCTATATATCTGCCACTAGGATTTTCTTTGTATGATATGATACAGTGCTACAAGATGTCTATATATCTGCCACTAGGATTTGTCTTTGTATGATATGATACAGTGCTACAAGATGTCTATATATCTGCCACTAGGATTTTTGTATGTATGATATGATACAGTGCTACAACATGTCTATATATCTGCCACTAGGATTTGTCTTTGTATGATATGATACAGTGCTACAACATGTCTATATATCTGCCACTAGGATTTTTCTTTGTATGATATGATACAGTGCTACAAGATGTCTATATATCTGCCACTAGGATGTCTTTGTATGATATATCAGTGCTATATACAAGGATGTCTATATATCTGCCACTAGGATTTTTTTGTATGATATGATACAGTGCTACAAGATGTCTATATATCTGCCACTAGGACTTTGTAGGATTTGTCTATATATTTGTAGGATGTCTTTGTATGATATGATACAGTGCTACAAGATGTCTATATATCTGCCACTAGGATTTGTCTTTGTATGATATGATACAGTGCTACAAGATGTCTATATATCTGCCACTAGGATTTGTCTTTGTATGATATGATACAGTGCTACAAGATGTCTATATATCTGCCACTAGGATTTTTTTGTATGATATGATACAGTGCTACAAGATGTCTATATATCTGCCACTAGGATTTGTCTTTGTATGATATGATACAGTGCTACAAGATGTCTATATATCTGCCACTAGGATTTGTCTTTGTATGATATGATACAGTGCTACAAGATGTCTATATATCTGCCACTAGGATTTTTGTATGATATGATACAGTGCTACAAGATGTCTATATATCTGCCACTAGGATTTGTCTTTGTATGATATGATACAGTGCTATAAGATGTCTATATATCTGCCACTAGGATTTGTCTTTGTATGATATGATACAGTGCTACAAGATGTCTATATATCTGCCACTAGGATTTTTTTTGTATGATATGATACAGTGCTACAACATGTCTATATATCTGCCACTAGGATTTGTCTTTGTATGATATGATACAGTGCTACAAGATGTCTATATATCTGCCACTAGGATTTGTCTTTGTATGATATGATACAGTGCTACAAGATGTCTATATATCTGCCACTAGGATTTGTCTTTGTATGATATGATACAGTGCTACAACATGTCTATATATCTGCCACTAGGAATGTTTTGTAGTGCTACAAGATGTCTATATATCTGCCACTAGGATTATATATCGAGTATCTGGAATTATCACATAATGCAATGATTACAATGCTTTGTATCAAATTTTAAATTTGACTAAAGCGTAAAAAAGAGAAGTGTTCTTGGTATTTCTTAGTGAATGTTTCTGTAGTGAACAGCAATAATAATCTTTAACTGTCAAATCTAAGAGGGTTGTCTGTCAGCCTTTTTGTTTTTCCAATCTGACCCAAAATAAAACAGGCACAACTAGAGACCAAAGGGAATCTACAAATGAAATTTGAGAAAGAGATCTACTTAGGAAACAGCAATCACTAACTTACAATGTCAAAATCAAAGATTGCTATCTTCAGGGTTATTTTATTTTCCTGATCAGTCCCAAATTCAAACGGGTACAGCTAGGCACCAAGAGAAATCTACAAATGAAACTTGTGCAAGACCACTCCAGTAAGTCTCAAGAAATTGTGAAAACAAACTTTTATTGTCAAAATCCAATATGGCTTCCTGTCAGCCTTTCATTTTTTTTGACTAGTCCCAAAATTATGCAACAACTAGTGCCAAGGAAAATCTATAATGGAAAAAAATACCTATCCTGCACTGTTATAGAAATAGCAATCATAAATTCTCATAGTCAAAATGCAAGATGGCTGTCTTCAGCCATTTTGTATTTCTGATCGGATCCAAAACCAAAAGGGGACAACAAGGGACCAAAGAAAATTGAAGTAAGTTTGAGAACGATTCATCAAGTACTTCTCTGGAAACAAACAATTACAACAAAATATTACAGTCAATCACCAATATGCCACCTGTCAAATCAAGTGTTTTTAGCAGAGTCCAAAAATAGGTTAGGACAATGTACAACTAGGGACGAAAGAGTACCTACGATATACATATATGAGATTTGTAGAAGATTCATCCTGTTCTTATCAAGGAGTAGAGATAAGAAGGACAGATGGACATACTACAGAAAACTGACTACTGATGAGATTGGAAATGTTCACCATCTGATAACTTTGGGGTAATAACAACAGGTTGTTCCATCCGAAATGCTATTTCCCTTCATATTAAAACCTCAAAACAACAGGCTGTTCTATGAGTAATACATAATATTCTTTTCTCTCAACCCTTAAACTTTCTCAACATCTGTCATATCAAAACTATTGTCATTCTAATGGTATTTGCTTTAAAGTGTGTTTGGGAGATTTTATCAAACTCAACTTTCAATTGAAGTAAAATGTACTGCAAAAAATCAGGTTGTCAGTATGTACATTCTTAAACAGATATTCCTAATATTGTAACATGCTTTTTAAAATGATATAAATAGAAACTCAATATCTATAAATTAAAATATTTTAATATTTCATATACTTTTCCCAAAATATAGAGAGACCATCAGAGAAAGACAGCTCAAATTTTTCGGCCACAAAGCAGAGCTGACGGAATAAAGAAACTGTTATGGAGTGGCAAAATATGTGGAAACAAGAGCAGAAAAAGACAACGCACAAAATTCACAGCCAGCTTAAACAAATTTACAACAAATAAAGAGGACACCAGCAATAAACTTATGAGAAAGACCAAGAACAGGGCCATGATCGTCGATGTCTGCAAGACCAGACCAGACACTTAAAGAAGAAAATAGAGATATAGCAGCTAGATTTTCACATGATTCGTCCATGTGGAAAATATATCACGTTACACATGTACTTTTAAGATGTATGATATTTCAAAGAAAGACATTAAAATTCCTCTTTATTATGCCATAACTTGAAAGATTTTTCTCGGCTTCATCTGGGACCGAGGATGCAGAATGCATAAAGTCAGACAAATTATACATTTACAGAACTTTTAGGGAAGTAGAAAATGGAGAACCTTTCTGAACAAGGTCTTCTCTGTCCTCCTTAATCAGTTGTACTATCACATCAACACAAATCTGGTAGTCTCTTCTTCTGTTGTAGTTCAGATAGGCAATGTAAGCTGTAGCCAGGAGATCAACATCCTTCCTATCAACAAGTCAATAGTAAAACAGCAAGTGACTGTACTATTGTATATATCACAAATCAAAAGGTATCATCAAAGGTATATATTTGACAACAACAATTTACATTTACCTCCCAAGTTAACAAGAAGGTTAAGGTCAGCTGAGTCTATTTCATTAGCAACCATCCTCCATACACGATGTAAAAAGAATACTTGCAGTGTGACCAACACCATAAATAGAACTAAGGAGACATTGAGAACGATATGACTTGGTTTTAAAGTAAATGTTTATATGTGACCCCTGTCCATATCTAAACCTGACCCCTGAACTCAATCAATAGAATATATCATGAAGATGACTCTAGATCATACATTTCATCAGACAATGTTGTTGGCAATTTTGAACTAATTCCATAATTAATACAAGAGATCCCAGAGGGATCTTGGTGCCGTCCGTTGTTTGATCTGTATATGCTCTGTGAAAGCTGGATCTTTTCCCTCTTTTTCTCTTCTTTTCTTTGTTTTTGCTTTTAATGATAAGACATTTAATTATTCCTTTACAGAAATAGTAATCATGATCTTTACCAGCCAAATCCAAAATGGCCACCTGAAAGCCATTTTGTATCTTCTGATCAGTCCCATAATCAACTGAACACAAGGAGAGACTAAAGGGAACATACATATGAAATTTGAGATCTATACATTCAGTACTTCTTAAGAAATAGCAATAACAAATAACAAAATCAAAGATGGCTGTCTGTCGGCCATTTTGCTTTCTTTTATTAGTCCCAAACTCAAATAGGCACAACAAGGGATCAAGGAAAGCATACACATGAATTTAAGAAAGATGTATGGTGTAGTTCTCAAGAAATAGCAATAACAATTTTTACTTGTCAAAATCCAAGGTGTCTGTTAGCCATTTTGTTTTTTAGATCAGACCCAAAATCAAATGGGCACCACTAGGTACCAAGTGGAACTGGCATCTGAAATCTAAGAAAGATGCATTCTGTACTTCTCAAAAAATAGCCATAGCAAACTGTCAAAGTCAAAATCCAAGATGTCTGTCTGTCTGATAAAAAAAGTGTTTACAGATGGGAAATTACAGACCATGGACGCAGAGCGATCTGAATGTCAGAATTTATGGCATTTAATGAAGCATTCAGTATTTAAATTCACTTTGATTTTACAATTGAACAAAAAACATACCCCATCATATAGGATTTCATCAGGCCTGCTTTAAGAAGATGATCGTCGCTCTGGCTAATATGTACTCTGAATCTTTGTAAACATGCAAAGGCTTGTGAGGGTGGGAGTAACTGCATCAATACCTCTGGTAGTACTTTGGGGAGAATAATTGTACCGGACGTCTTATCCATGTGCTGCAGGCAAAAGTCTATGCTCTCCATCACTCCTGTAAAATACATCTTTTTTGCATTTTTTCCCACTAAAGATAATTTTCAATATCTACAAACAAAATCCTAGGACTAATCTATGCTTGAACACCTAAGATATATAACACTGAAAATATATGATGGATATTTCTGTTGGTTATAATTATCAATGACTGTACATTTTCCCCCAAATTATTCTTAGTTTATTGCAATACCAAATTAAACCTATTTCATCACATATTTGTGATTAAATAAAGGTATTTTTCCTTTGCAGCAGTTACTTTTTTGTTCTTTCAAGACAAATATCTTACTACTTGATATCTGTTCCTACAGCAGAGAGGAAGTCTGATGTTATTTTGTTTTGTGAGAAAATGACTTACCCTCTTTATATCCATTCTTTAGCATCACAGTAGCATTTGACACTACTTTAGCTAAGTTACCGATGTACTTTGGACTTAAACAAATCCTGTAATAATAATAATCAATGGTGATACAAGCATATCAATGTACAAACATAACAATGTACAAATATTACAATATACAAGCATAACAATGTACAAACATATCAATGTACAAACATATCAATGTACAAACATATAGCAAAGTACCAACATAACATGTAAATAAATGTACAAACATATCAATGTACAAACATATAGCAAAGTACCAACATATCAATGTACAAACATATCAATGTACAAACATATCAATGTACAAACATATCAATGTACAAACATATAGCAAAGTACCAACATAACATGTAAAAAAATGTACAAACATAACAATGTACAAACATATAGCAAAGTACCAACATATCAATGTACAAACATATCAATGTACAAACATATCAATGTACAAACATATCAATGTACAAACATATCAATGTACAAACATATAGCAAAGTACCAACATAACATGTAAAAAAATGTACAAACATAACAATGTACAAACATATCAATGTACAAACATATAGCAAAGTACCAACATAACATGTAAATAAAAATTGTACAAACATATAAATGTACAAACATATCAATGTACAAACATATCAATGTACAAACATATCAATGTACAAACATATCAATGTACAAACATATAGCAAAGTACCAACATAACATGTAAAAAAATGTACAAATATAACAATATACAAACATATCAATGTACAAACATATAGCAAAGTACCAACATAACATGTAAATAAAAATTGTACAAACATATCAATGTACAAACATATCAATGTACAAACATACCAATGTACAAACATATCAATGTACAAACATATCAATGTACAAACATATCAATGTACAAACATATCAATGTACAAACATAACAATGTACAAACATATCAATGTACAAACATATAGCAAAGTACCAACATATCAATGTACAAACATATCAATGTACAAACATATCAATGTACAAACATATCAATGTACAAACATATAGCAAACTACCAACATAACATGTAAAAAAATGTACAAACATATAGCAGTACCAACATATCAATGTACAAACATATCAATGTACAAACATATCAATGTACAAACATATAGCAAAGTACCAACATAACATGTAAAAAAATGTACAAACATAACAATGTACAAACATATCAATGTACAAACATACAGCAAAGTACCAACATAACATGTAAAAAAATGTACAAACATAACAATGTACAAACATATCAATGTACAAACATATCAATGTACAAACATATAGCAAAGTACCAACATAACATGTAAAAAAATGTACAAACATAACAATGTACAAACATATCAATGTACAAACATATAGCAAAGTACCAACATAACATGTAAATAAAAATTGTACAAACATATCAATGTACAAACATATCAATGTACAAACATATCAATGTACAAACATATCAATGTACAAACATAACAATGTACAAACATATCAATGTACAAACATATAGCAAAGTACCAACATAACATGTAAAAAAAATGTACAAACATAACAATGTACAAACATATCAATGTACAAACATATAGCAAAGTACCAACATAACATGTAAATAAAAATTGTACAAACATATCAATGTACAAACATATCAATGTACAAACATATCAATGTACAAACATATCAATGTACAAACACATAGCAAAGTACCAACATAACATGTAAATAAAAATTGTACAAACATATCAATGTACAAACATATAGCAAAGTACTAACATAACATGTAAATAAAAATTGTACAAACATAACAATGTACAAACATATAGCAAAGTACCAACATAACATGTAAAAAAATGTACAAACATAACAATGTACAAACATATAGCAAAGTACCAACATAACATGTAAAAAAATGTACAAACATAACAATGTACAAACATATAGCAAAGTACCAACATAACATGTAAAAAATGTACAAACATAACAATGTACAAACATATAGCAAAGTACCAACATAACATGTAAAAAAATGTACAAACATAACAATGTACAAACATATAGCAAAGTACCAACATAACATGTAAAAAAATGTACAAACATAACAATGTACAAACATATAGCAAAGTACCAACATAACATGTAAAAAAATGTACAAACATAACAATGTACAAACATATAGCAAAGTACCAACATAACATGTAAAAAAATGTACAAACATACAATGTACAAACATATAGCAAAGTACCAACATGACATGTAAAAAAATGTACAAACATAACAATGTACAAACATATAGCAAAGTACCAACATAACATGTAAATAAAAATTGTACAAACATAACAATATACAAACATTACAATATACAAATATTACAATATACAAATATTACAATATACAAATACAAACATTACAATGTACAAATATTACAATGTACAAATATTACAATGTACAAATATTACAATATACAAATATTACAATGTACAAATTTCACAATGTACAAACATATAGCAAAGTACCAACATAACATGTAAATAAAAATTGTACAAACATAACAATATACAAACATTACAATGTACAAATATTACAATATACAAATATTACAATATACAAACATTACAATGTACAAATATTACAATGTACAAATATTACAATATACAAATATTACAATATACAAACATTACAATGTACAAACATTACAATGTACAAATATTACAATATACAAATATTACAATATACAAACATTACAATGTACAAACATTACAATGTACAAATATTACAATATACAAATATTACAATATACAAACATTACAAGGTACAAATATTACAATGTACAAATATTACAATATACAAATGTTACAATATACAAACATTACAATGTACAAATATTACAATATACAAATATTACAATATACAAACATTACAATGTACAAATATTACAATGTACAAATATTACAATATACAAACATTACAATATACAAATATTACAATGTACAAATTTCACAATGTACAAACAGTAATGTACACAGCATTTTCGAATTATGAAATTGTTTAGCACCAGCTCTAACATGTAACCAAGAGTTAATGATGTGTTCAATATAAGGATTAACAACTAAAATCCTTCTGATCACAAGATATTAATGATTTAGCCTTTAATATTAATGAAAAGATATCTATCAGCAATATAATGTAACATCACCACCTAATTCTGATGTCTGAAATTATAAGACTTTTATGATTTTTATGATTATGTCCCTTCCTGTCATCAATAAAGTTATAGAAAAAATACATTTCTAGGGCTGAAGAGGGATCTTCTATGAACAGAATACAAATTACTTACATTTCCTTGAGGTAATGTAGAGACTGTGGGTAGTTGCCGAGTTTTAAATACATTGTATGTACATATGCTGCACCTAATGATTTAACAGCTGGAAGTCGTGGATCATCACTTTCTTCTGCCAAGAGGTTTCTGTAGAGATCAAGAGCTGCTGCCTCCTCCTGTATTTGGTATATATATAATCATTGTGAGTCAGTAACTGTGGACTATAAAATTAAGGTTTCTGTAGAGATCAAGAGCTGCTGCCTCCTCCTGTATTTGGTATATATATAATCATTGTGAGTCAGTAACTGTGGACTATAAAATTAAGGTTTCTGTAGAGATCAAGAGCTGCTGCCTCCTCCTGTATTTGGTATATATATAATCATTGTGAGTCAGTAACTGTGGACTATAAAATTAAGGTTTCTGTAGAGATCAAGTGCTTCAGCCTCCTCCTGTATTTGGTATATATATAATCATTGTGAGTCAGTAACTGTGGACTATAAAATTAAGGTTTCTGTAGAGATCAAGTGCTTCAGCCTCCTCCTGTATGTGGTATATATAGAAATCATTGTGAGCTTTGGGGAAAATGTACATTCTATAATGATAATTATAATCAATAGAAATATCCACCTTATATTTTCAGTGTTATGCATTTTAAAGTGTTCAAACATTAATTGTTCATAGGATTTTGTTTGTAGATATTGTAATTAAAACCTTATCACAAAACATCAAGTGTGTAACATAACTTCAAAAGTATGGATGAAGGGAGATAAATCAAACAGTGTTGATGATAAAATTGTTTCTTCCAAACAATTAGAAAAAAAAACCTCTTTCCCACACCAATTCAAATATCATTCCAAAATTTATGACCCATATCAGAATTGCACATCTGTGCAAAGAACTCATCACTCTGCACACAATTGTGTGATATAGAAAATTTCATCCAGTCTTTCAATAGAGCATGCAACATACAGACATCCTGCCCACATCATGTTGTGCAATTCAACAACTGTACATGTATATGAAGAGTCTCTACAATTCATGTTAGCACACCTTCTCCTTTACAGATTCAGAAATAAGGCCTGATAACTCCTCTGTCCTATAGTGAAAACATTACTCAGGGACAGATCAATATTAGAACACCTTGTCCCTTATAGATTATGTAATAGGGCCTCACTCCCCCTCCTCCAATCTATTGTGAAAACATTATAATCAATATAATGAAATATCATGATGGCCACATCTTCATGGATTTATATTCAATTGTTTTATCATCAGATTTATTGTTCTATATAAATATAAGTATATCAAACATTACAATACTATTGTAATAGGGAGTCAGTTAACATATGACACGAGTCAATATTTAAACAATACAGATATATATCTGAGTCAATATTTAAACAATACAGATATATATCTGAGTCAATATTTAAACAATACATATATATATCTGAGTCAATATTTAAACAATACATCATGTTGTGCAATTCAACAACTGATATATATCTGAGTCAATATTTAAACAATACAGATATATATCTGAGTCAGATATATAATATTTAAACAATACAGATATATATCTATCAATATTTAAACAATTCAGATATATACTGAGTCAATATTTAAACAATACAGATATATATCTGAGTCAATATTTATACAATACAGATATATATCTGAGTCAATATTTATACAATACAGATATATATCTGAGTCAATATTTATACAATACAGATATATATCTGAGTCAATATTTAAACAATACATATATATATCTGAATTATTTCTGTTTTAGAATCCTTTCTGAATCCTGACTAGTATACTTACCTGATATACAGTTTTCTCCAGAATTCTGTTTACACAATCTGTGTGTGTTCCATAATGAGGCTGTGTAAAACAGATGGAAACAATTGTAAAATATTCAAGTAGTGTGTACGTTGTTATGTGTTACAAACTATTCTATGACATTATATATTGTACACATGTAGAAGTATGGGTCACTATAACAATGGGCCAATAACAGAAAAGAAAGACCACTTTCATAACAGACAACTGTAAGTACAAGATATAATAAAGAGAATTAACTGAATCACGGTCCCCCACAAATACACACCTCACCCTCACCATGTTGATGATGTGGGGGCGCCGGTGTGCCCTGGGCAACAAACAACTCATTTAATGATGGGTGATCCCACAACTGTACATAGTTTCTGTGTACCTATGTCTGTATATCTTTGACACTACTGAGCAGGAAATTTTTTCATTTGTAATTAACTTACATCATGTACATGTCTTTTCAGCTCTTCATCAGCCTTAGCTTTCTGTGTATCAATATAAATTTGTTACAATTAAACAATCAATTAATTAATAATGACCACTTATCTAATGTAATGATAATCAGTTAAAAACATTAAGTTTTTCTATATATTTGTAGTGATAAGCAAAACCAACTTTTAAATAATACATGTAAAGTAATATTTCATTTAAAACAAAGATTATGTAAATACTGAATAAGATATCCATATATGGTAGAAATAATGTAAAATAAAATACAATTATTGCTGGTCTTATTCATGAAAAGTAAAGTGTAACTAGGTATTTATTTTAGCTGTTGTAAACATTGTACATTTTATCGATTACCACTTAATTGTAAGAAGGGTGTTGTAAACAAAATGTCATTGAGTCTAAATACATAATGTTAATTGTTATCGTTATGTCATTAATTTAGTCGACATCATGTGAAATACATAGTTACATCTAAACAACATGTTCATGGCAGTCCCTATACATGTGTGTATAATATAAAACCTTCTGTTACAATGGTAATTTCATAATAATAATTATATACATTCTGTATACTAGTTATAGTGATCCGATTCATTTCATCACTGTGGTAACTTGTGTGTTGCATTATAAAGTATACCAGTATAGATATACCAGGTACATACATGTGATTTCACTTATTGAGCATGCCTGGATCAAACATTCTTCATTAATACATCAGTGTATACAATGTATAAACAAATGAGTGTGAACATTGTGTAACTTACCAGTGTAGGTAAATCCATGTCAGCAAGCACCACCACCAACTGTAAATATTATATATATATATATGTGAACTAATTTACTACAAAATTTCTGAGCATGAAAAAAAAACTATTGCTCCATGGAAAATCACTAAAAATGTGAATACATTTTCAGGAAATCAAAAGTAATGCAATTTTCTCTAAGAATTTTGCAATATCTGCTCAGTTGATACTGACCCTGAGTAGAAACAGGAAAAATAAGAGGCCCATAGGGCCTGTATAGCTCACTTGGCTTGGCAGAAAATGTTTCATTAAAACTGAAGGAAAAAGATTTCTCAATACCCAAGCAGACAACACACAAGATATCTATTTTCCTATTGGACCTCAACACTCTGTATCTTTAGGGTCAGCCAAACCATTCATACTTTAGACAAAATCATTCCCACTGGTGAAGTACAATTTTAAAATTTGCTCTATTTCCCCTATTGGGCCTCGCCCGTTCCATCCAAAGAGACCAGACCAACCATTGATACAAATTTGATTTCCTTCTGTGTATGAATGCTTCAGACCTGGGCAAATCTGATCATTCTAAACGTAAGAGAGTAGTATTTTAAAGAACTTACAAAATTTTTGCATATTAGATTACAGCCAGTTGTAGGATACCTTAATTGTGCCTTGTACCACATAAGCTGATATCTAATACTTTTCATATCAATTTGTACAATTGAAAAAACTATATAAAAGCAACTTGCATTTTTCCAAGGGGATTGATGAACATTGTCAAGAGCAGACTTCTTCAACTCTTCTGAATCTTTAACATAATTCTGTAGAAAAAAAAGAAGATTAAAACGCACCACTTACAATACTTAATTCAGTGAAACAAATACCGTATACATTTAAGGTTATGAGAAATAAGCACAGGATGAAATGTGTAGTTAAGCATGTAAGTTCATGGCAAACCATAAAGAAACTAGAACTGTCACCAGGATGGTTGACTGACTGATACCCCCACAACCCTAATGAGTCAGTGGACAATGACAGTTTAAGGGAAAAAACTGAGTTCAAGTTTCACATACCATGATTAAAATGTCAGCAAGTTAGTGGCAAGTTTACGTGTTGCCCAGCTGAGCTTGGTCTGATATAATATACACTGTGTCAGTAGTATAAAAACAACCAGAGGAAGAGATCTTTGAAGTAGGTATCATATGTGTCTTTATTTGGGAAATGAAACTAGAGGTTTGAGATAGTGGAAAGATCATTGAAAGGTAGATAATCGTTGAATATGATAATTTTTTCATAAAATGAAGAAAAAAAATAAGATAGATAAATAAAAGGTGTATAACTTTCTTAAAAGAGGTTAAAATGCAAAATTACTTCAGAGGTATAACTCCATATTGTGCTGTCTCTTTCCCAAATTAAAAAAAAAAATAATAACAGAGAATGCACAGCCAGACAAAATTGTGTTCATTTAAAGGGATATAACTCTCTACATGGGGTGAAAATGGAAATCATTACAGAGGTCACAACTCCATATCGTATTATTGGCCATTTCAACAATTTTTTTTAAAAGATCCACTAAAAATTCAGAGAATACGTAGACAGAAAAATATTGTGTTCATTTTTTACATAACCATAACTGTCTCAAAAGGGGGATAGTTTCAAAATCACTGCAGAAGTCACAGCACGTATGGTACTGGCTATGCTAAGACAATAACAGAAATCACAAATAGTCAGAAACATTTGGAATATTCAACCAGGTGTATATAAAGAGGACTAGATGACAGACTGGCTTTAACTGACCAGTGACCAGGTTCTTTTGTTGTTTAATATTTGTACTTTATTTCATTAACATAACCATTGTAAATGTATGACTAACACATGTATTACTCACTAATCTTCATCCTCTACTCACCAATTGTTTCAGTTCCTTCATCAACCTTGTAAGAAATGCTGAAATAATATGATAAACTGTACAGCGTAATGCCTTATCTTGAATTAAGAACATTTAATATTAAGTATACATATCAAGCTTAATCCCGTTGATTTTTAAAAGAAAATAAATAGTAGATTTACTACATAGAGGAGCTCAATGTCATGTGTTTCCTGTACACCTCTAATCAGGATAGGAACTTAATACTAATTGAAATATTTTATTACCTTCCTATATATAATTAAAAGAAACCCTAGTCTGACAGCTTCATGTACAAACTATTTTTGTATTATTATATAAATATAAACTTTATTTTACAACAACTGCAAAACAATCTATATATATTTATAAATTTGATGGCCCTGAGTCAAGGATGTGAGAGGTCTTAATGTGGGAGGAAACCAGAGTATGCAGAAAAAACACACCCACATCTTTTAAATCTGAATGGAACACTGGACATCTGGGTGAAAGTGTGTTACAACTGTGTAAGTTGACCAATATTGTAACATATCAGGTAGTGACTGTATGGGTGTGGTGCATTAGATATCCTGGGCTCCTGAGTATAATCAAGAGTATAAATAGTGTTATATAACAAGTAGTAACTGTATGAGTGTGGTGCATTAGATATCCTGTGTTCATCAATATAATGAAGAGTATAAATATTGTTATAGATAAAAACATCCCAACAATGTTTAAAACTGACTTTCAATACACTTACCTAGTGAAGCTGATGATGAGTCCATGAACAACTTCCTAAAATCTACACGAGATTCTGTAAGTAACTTGACGGATAATTCTACACCTCTAACAATACCATCTGGTTTCTGGGGGAGAGAAAATAACAGAAAGTTTACTTTACCAAAATCAATAGACGTCCGAGACATGTATATCCATGTTGGAGTGTGTTTAACCAGAGTGAGACTGAAATTTGTACATTTACAGTACCAAAATCAATAGACATCCGAGACATGTATATCCATGTTGGAGTGTGTTTAACCAGAGTGAGACTGAAATTTGTACGTTTACAGTACCAAATCAGGAGACATCCGAGACATGTATATACATGCTGGAGTGTGTTTAACCAGAGTGAGACTGAAATTTGTACGTTTACAGTACCAAATCAGGAGACATCCGAGACATGTATATACATGCTGGAGTGTGTTTAACCAGAGTGAGACTGAAATCTGTACATTTATAGTACCAAATCAGGAGACATCCGAGACATGTATATACATGCTGGAGTGTGTTTAACCAGAGTGAGACTGAAATCTGTACATTTATAGTACCAAATCAATAGACGTCTGAGACACGTATATCCATGCTGGAGTGTGTTTAAACATCAATAAGTAGATAATATTCAATATACATAAAAACCTTAACTTATCAATTGTTAAAGGGAGGTAGCTCAAGAGAGCATGGATTGGAATTTCAACAGAGACTATTTTGACAGATAAAACTTGTACAATGTTTCTGTGTGACGACATTATCTAATTTAATCAAGTAAATAAGTTGTTGTGGCTACGGTCATCAACATAAAAATTTGTATTTTATATAAATACTTTATCTAATTAAATATACAGGTGTATTTACCTTAGATGCTTCACTATTATGGAAGCATTGAATGAATGAACGTCCTCTCTTAAAAGGAAGGCAGAACACAAGAAAGGCCTCATCCACATAACCACTCATTAGAAGACTATTTGCACACTTGTGAACAGCAGCATTCAATCTAAATGGTGGATGTCTGATAACTCCTATACTGTTTATTGTCTGCAATATCAATAGAGTATTACAAAGTATAACCAATCAGAAGAAGAGCCATCCTGTCCTTCTCAAGAAATTGTGATAAAAAAATTTTCAAAATACAAGACGGCCACCTTTCAGTAAGGTAAGGAAAAACATATATCTACAAATTCTTTAAAAGATCCATCGAGTATTTCTCTAGAAATGAATATTACAATCTACAATTGTCAAAATCTAAGATTGCTGTCTTGTGTTTTGATAAGTCTCAAAATGGACTTTGAAATTTGAGAAATATCTATCCAGCACTTTTCCAGAAATAGTGATGACTAATATTACTTTCACAATCCAAGATGGCTGCCTATAAGCAGTTTAGTTTTTAGGATCAGTTCCAAAATGAAATAATGCACAACCAGGGTCCAAGGTTTATCTACATATGAAAAATGAGACTGATCCATTGAGTACTTCACCAAATACAGAGATAATAATCTATTGTTGTCAAAATCATAAAGAGCTTGCGATCAGTTCTACAATGGTACAATTTGTGATAAGGGTTCCATGAGAACCTACATTATGAAATTTAAAAAAGATCTGTTCAGGACTTCTCAAGAAATAGCGATAGCAAGAATCAAAGCATTGATGGAAGGCCCGCATGTTAACTAAAATAAAAACGTAAGGAATATAAGAATAGATGAATTGCAACCACAAGAATGAAGCTTGAAAACAGTAGTGTATACATCTATGTCAATATAATATTAACTTGAAACACTTTTTAAACATGCTCTGAAAACTGTATAACTTTATTTTTGAGATATTTTGCAGAAAACATATCATACCTTACTTGCTTGTTTCTGGAATTTATATTGCAGCAATGGTAAAATGATTTGTAGTGTAATAATGGTTTTATCTTCAGCAGATATAGGGTCCTCATTTTCAATTTGTTCAAACGTCTGAAAATATAAAGCATAATCCATATAAAGGTATAGCAATCTATTGAATCATAAAGACAAGTGTTCCCTACAGTAAGTAAATTACCTTGAAGGTCCCTCCCAAAAGCAAGTTCAAGACCTTGATAGTCCCTGCACAAAGGAAGCTAACAAATTTTATAGTCTTCCCTCTATCCTTGATAGTCCCTCCAAACTTGATAGTCTTCCCTCTATCCTTGATAGCCCCTCCAAACAAAAATTTAGCTACAGTGATAGTCTGTGATCACAGGAAGCTAACAATTTTTACAGTCTTCCCTCTAACCTTGATAGTCCCTGCACATAGGAAGCTAACAAATTTTATAGTCTTCCCTCTATCCTTGATAGTCCCTGCACAAAGGAAGCTAACAAATTTTATAGTCTTCCCTCTATCCTTGATAGTTCCTCCAAACAAAAATTTAGCTACAGTGATAGTCTGTGATCACAGGAAGCTAACAATTTTTACAGTCTTCCCCACAGGAAGCTTATTACATCCTTGATAGTCCCTTTCCCATTTTTCTCACAACTCATTAATACTAATTTGCATTTGCTGTTCACTCTGTTACCATTACTTGGTAAGTAATAAACATGTACAACAGTTCATATCTAAAACTCCAGTCTTAAATCAATTTAGACTGAGGTGATTACAGTAAAATCTCACTTCCATGAAATTGCATTACTTAAACATCCCCTAATCATCATAAATACAACAATATATTACATTACATTACAGTTAAAGTTTTAAAGTTGTTGTTTCTCAAGGGTACAGCAACACCTCCCTAGTGAAAGTGACACTGTGTGTCTGCAAAAAACTCAGTAAAATGTATAAATGATTTGTTTTTATACCAATGACTAAATATGTTACCTTTTCGATGGCATCCATGTCCCCTCGTGTAGCATGGAAATAAATAATGGCAGTGAAAGTATCAATGTCCTGCTTGATGTTGTATTCCCTGTTACATAAAAAAGAAGGCCAAGACATCAGTAATATCTGACAGAACAAATCTTATTAATGCTCGTTTATAACTTACATTATAATATTTTAAAAGTCTTTAAAGTCTGCAAAAGTTAATCCTTCACAATGACAATTTGTTGTGTTTAATTTCTGCCTGTCATTTCAATTCAGGAAATATATAATATCATTATGAACTTCATTGTAAAACTCTATACAAAAAACTGAAATGACAGATAAGTTCAATATAAGTACCCTGAGCATTTTAGTTCATGAGAAGTTGTTTGAAAATTTTAAGACATCTGACCAGAGTGAACTTGAAAGTATGTCAAGGTCATTCATTTGCACAAACTTTGTAAATATTCACCCTAGCATGTCACATTGTGTAGTCCCAGTATCTTTTACATTTTGGTTATTAAAAAAAATAAGTGGTTTGAATAATTTAACATATTTTAAGCAGGTTCGGGTCATTCATTTCAACAAGCCTGGTAGCCATTTACCCCAGCATGTTACAGGTACAATATCAGTACCCCATGGTCTTTCGGTTATTGGAAAAAATATCTAAATCAAACAATCTTTTAGAAAAAGAGTACCACAGAACATTTACAATATATGTACATCCCACGCCAAACAAATATTCATGAATCAAAATTTCAAGAGTCACACAAGAAAATCGTGTGACATGTTTTGATGATAAATAAAAGCATACCAAATGTACAGAATGAAAAATATAATTATAAGTATCTGACCAATCAATTGACTGATGATGACTAGAATGTATACTGTTTAACTGTTATAATTATTGTTGAAATACAAGCCGTACGTACTCACAAGGAACTATGGTATGAAAACAAAACCAAAATCATTTATAAGGAGAAACAAGTTTTAAGGAGATGGGTTGAAAGCAAAACAGAAATCTCAGGATAAGAATACTGCCAAGAACAGAGGGCAATACCTTTTTTCAAATTATTGAACCAAAATACTGTTCATGAGAACACAATCATTATGTGGTTTTAAAGCCTACCAAATTCCAAAGATATTGGTTAAAAATTGAGAGAGGTGATACAGGGCAGTAACTCTTATACATGGTCACAATAAGAGGCACCAAGTAAGATGTCACTAAAAATCTTGTGTCAATATTGTTGACAGGTGGTCAGACACATTAACTTAATGTATACTTCAATAATTTTGTTGTGGGGAGTATAACTCCACAGTCATATTCTTCAACACACTGCACATGATACCTAAACCATTTCTAACAAACATGTTGTCAATCCAATAACTTTGTTGTGGGGAGTATAACTCCACAGTCATATTCTTCAACACACTGAACATGATACCTAAAATATTTCTAGCAAACATGTTGTCAATTTAATAATTTTGTTGTGGGGAGTATAAACATATTCTTCAACACACTGTCCAAGATATGTACTAACCCATTTTTAGCAATCAGGTTGACACAAGCATGATTTATCAAACTTGTAAACTTAATCATCAATACATACCTCATAATATCCAGCATGTCCTTTGCTGAAACTGACCTGGAAAATTAATCCTAATTATCAGCTCAATGTTAAAAAATAATGATTAATGAAACATACTTTCCACTAGAATTTTCGAACATAATAGCATCATCTGCTCCAATCAGAATTACACCCTTTCACAATCATATAAACTGCTGCTATCAGAAATCATCCACTTTATAGTATGATAGGTTACCATCAACATTAATCAGGGCCTTTACACTGTAATAATCTGCTACGATGTTAAAGTCTGGCCTTAAGATTACAATCAGCTATATTTTTGGAACATTTTCTTCACATTGGTAATTTCAATAGAATAGGGTGAATGTGTGTACGACAGAAAAGGTGAAAACAGAAACATCATATGTTAACCTGTTTGTGTGAGGTTTTTGAAAGAGAAACGATAGTTTCAGACCTTGTCTTTGCATAAGCTGTTACCAAGTGTTTGAAACAACGGCCATCAACAGTCATGTCAGAATCTTTCATTTCCTTAAGAATTTCACTGCGAAATTAAAAAAAAATGAAATTACATATCAATTTACAGTTATCATTCATACAGTGCAAGTCTTAATGTTAAATCTAATCAGAAACATGTCCCCGTTTACAATGATAGCAGCCACTATACAGCCACATTCTACCTGTGATATGACATCGCAAAAATAACGCAGCACACATGACATTCTCTTTACCTATAAACGCTCCTATGCCCAGTATTTATACAGGTCACATGGATTTTTCATGGAGGCCCCTGTAACTTTGTATATCATCAGTTTGTATTTTACCTATAAACACTCCTATGCCCAGTATTTATACAGGTCACATGGATTTTTCATGGAGGCCCCTGTAACTTTGTATATCATCAGTTTGTATTTTACCTATAAACACTCCTATGCCCAGTATTTATACAGGTCACATGGATTTTTCATGGAGGCCCCTGTAACTTTGTATATCATCAGTTTGTATTTTACCTATAAACACTCCTATGCCCAGTATTTATACAGGTCATATGGATTTTTCATGGAGGCCCCTGTAACTTTGTATATCATCAGTTTGTATTTTACCTATAAACACTCCTATGCCCAGTATTTATACAGGTCACATGGATTATTCATGGAGGCCCCTGTAACTTTGTATATCATCAGTTTGTATTTTCAGTGGGACCCACTTCTATTAATTTCTATTTGTTTTGATATCCCCACCATGTGTTTCTTAATAGAGAGCACTCAGATTAAGTATGTTATAATGTTATCTTATTTACATAGTTTGCCATAATTGTCAAGTGAAATTTTTTCTCAGAAATTGATCAAAATCAAGTATATTTGCCATACAATGTATATATTGGGGCTTTAAGGGGATATTATTGAAACATTTAAATCCTAGGTATTAAAGAATGTTGATTTTCAAAACAGGAAATAAATCTGTTAGAAAAATTCATTACCATCCTTGATTTAATTCTTCCATGGCACAGTGGTAAGAAAGTACAGCTTGAAGAAAACCCTGTAAAATAAAACATCCTATATCTGGTAGGTGACTGAATTAACACTGATATCTAAAATATCCTATATCTGGTAGGTGACTGAATTAACACTGATATCTAAAATATCCTATATCTGGTAGGTGACTGAATTAACACTGATATCTAAAATATCCTATATCTGGTAGGTGACTGAATTAACACTGATATCTAAAATATCCTATATCTGGTAGGTGACTGAATTAACACTGATATCTAAAATATCCTATATCTGGTAGGTGACTGAATTAACACTGATATCTAAAATATCCTATATCTGGTAGGTGACTGAATAAACACTGATATCTAAAATATCCTATATCTGGTAGGTGACTGAATTACCATCAATATCAATCAACAATTTCACTTTCATTTTTTTTTCAAACTGCAGAAGATGGAAAAGGTCAAACAAATGAACTACAGTGAAAAATATTGAATGATTTTGTGTGTTAATCATTCTGTAAACAGCCATGGTCATTTCGAGGCCGTGTCTCCTTTTCTGTAATGGATAGTGACACATCTACAGTTAACAGAAGAAATGCAAAATAGCCAATCACATGGGATCTACAGTGATGGGGAATCTTGTTTTGCTGAGTAACACAAAATTCCCAGATCTGGGAGGATCAACCATGGTTCTGTAAATGTGCATATACTGGTTTTTGTGCTGGTACATTGTAGTAGATCTATGCAGAAGGATTTCAAAATGTTATAGTGATTATATCATAGACCTTACACATCTACCAATACAGCTGTTAGGTTTAAAATCACTTCAAATAGTTATGCTGAAGGCATAGGCAAAGACAAAAAATGTTAAAATAACATTTTATCAAACTGATGTCCCTGTAAGAATGTCATCAAGGTATGCAAAAACATGACTCATGGTGAGTTTGTTAAGTTCCATAAGATATTGTGGCTAATTGTAATCTCAAAATGAGGTACAAATATTTCTGTAAAAAATAATTTAAAGTGCATGTTAATATATCACATGTCATTGACAGATGTATTATAAGTTTTACAAACTTTCCTTCCTCTTCTTTTATTTCTGATTTCATTTGATACAGATTTTCCCTATTTGCCTATAACAATTAACAATTATTTCTTTGTTAGATGTCTGCATATATTATCCTACTTACATATTACATTACTAAGTATAATCATCCTTACCTTACCAAACAGAAAACCTGAGTCTGTCATCTTTTGTCGTAATTCTGGAATGTTGATCTGGAGGTGACTTTCTGAACATGCCATTACATATGATGTGTAATGTGATTCATCAAACTTAAAATCTGAAATAGGTAAACATGATCATGGTCTGACAAGGTACAGAATTGTTATTATAAATATCAATCACTTTTAAGGCACAAAAAGATTCTATGATATATCTACATGCTTAAATGAAATATATGTTTGTGTCTCCTACAGGTGTGACCAGTCACACTTGTGAAGATAGCAAAACAATGCAAACAATGAAACAGCGTGCAATGCTAAGAATTTTTGTGAGTAGTTATCCCTGGCCACGATCTCATTTAACTACATACAGTGTAGCAAGTAATTAATGTTTCTATGCATCTGCTTGACACTGAGCCTGAATAAGGTGAAACCATAGGTACATAATATCTGGTCATTATTTTTATGATGCCTCTAGATTTGTAAGTGACTGAATATTAAACTGCTACTAAAGCAGAGTAAATGTGCAGTAGATAAATGTCTAGTACCTACCTTGTATTAAGTAAATAATCAGCCAGACCAGACAGTCAGTGTAGACTTCTGTACAGTAGACAAATGTCTAGTACCTACTTTGTATTAAGTTAAGAATCTGCCAGACCAGACCTGTCAGTGTAGACTTCTGTACAGTAGACAAATGTCTAGTACCTACTTTGTATTAAGTTAAGAATCTGCCAGACCAGACCTGTCTGTGTAGACTTCTGTACAGTAGACAAATGTCTAGTACCTACTTTGTATTAAGTTAAGAATCTGCCAGACCAGACCTGTCAGTGTAGACTTCTGTACAGTAGACAAATGTCTAGTACCTACCTTGTATTAAGTTAAGAATCTGCCAGACGAGACCTGTCAGTGTAGACTTCTGTACAGTAGACAAATGTCTAGTACCTACTTTGTATTAAGTTAAGAATCTGCCAGACTTCTGTAGGTAAATGCCTAGTACCTACCTTGTATTAAGTTAAGAATCTGCCAGACCAGACTTGTCAGTGTAGACTTCTGTACAGTAGACAAATGTCTAGTACCTACCTTGTATTAAGTTAAGAATCTGCCAGACCAGACTGTCAGGGTAGACTTCTGTACAGTAGACAAATGTCTAGTACCTACCTAGTATTAAGTTAAGAATCTGCCAGACCAGACCTGTCTGTGTAGACTTATGTGCAGTAGATAAATGTCTAGTACCTACCTTGTATTAAGTAAATAATCAGCCAGACCAGACAGTCAGTGTAAACTTCTGTATAGTAGACAAATGTCTAGTACCTACTTTGTATTAAGTTAAGAATCTGCCAGACCAGACTTGTCAGTGTAGACTTCTGTACAGTAGACAAATGTCTAGTACCTACTTTGTATTTAGTTAAGAATCTGCCAGACTTCTGTAGGTAAATGCCTAGTACCTACCTTGTATTAAGTTAAGAATCTGCCAGACCAGACTGTCAGGGTAGACTTCTGTACAGTAGACAAATGTCTAGTACCTACCTAGTATTAAGTTAAGAATCTGCCAGACCAGACCTGTCAGTGTAGACTTATGTGCAGTAGATAAATGTCTAGTACCTACCTTGTATTAAGTAAATAATCAGCCAGACCAGACAGTCAGTGTAGACTTCTGTATAGTAGACAAATGTCTAGTACCTACTTTGTATTAAGTTAAGAATCTGCCAGACTTCTGTAGGTAAATGCCTAGTACCTACCTTGTATTAAGTTAAGAATCTGCCAGACCAGACTTGTCAGTGTAGACTTCTGTACAGTAGACAAATGTCTAGTACCTACCTAGTATTAAGTTAAGAATCTGCCAGACCAGACCTGTCTGTGTAGACTTATGTGCAGTAGATAAATGTCTAGTACCTACCTTGTATTAAGTAAATAACCTGCCAGACCAGACCTGTCAGTGTAGACTTCTGAAGGTAAATGCCTAGTACCTACCTTGTATTAAGTTAAGAATCTGCCAGACCAGACAGTCAGTGTAGACTTCTGTATAGTAGACAAATGTCTAGTACCTACCTTGTATTAAGTTAAGAATCTGCCAGACGAGACCTGTCAGTGTAGACTTCTGTACAGTAGACAAATGTCTAGTGTGTGTTATCATCTCTAGCAATTCCCTCCCTAATTCTGCAGACAGTTTGAATGTTATCTTATTGTCTTCCACTGGAGAAAAATAAAACAACATTTGTTTGAATGTGATCACAAAACCAAAAGGAAAACTTTATCATAATTTACTTTGGCACACCATCCCAAGATACACAGCAAGTGAAAAATTCTATTAAGACTAGCTAGGAAGTTGACATACATGTAACGGATGTGCGTGGCCCTACTAAAGTTAGCAACAATTTGTTTTTCCACAGCCAAACACAAGGGAGATATGGCCTTATTTCCACCTCCAGTGAATCTAGATCGCAGCAATATTTGTTTGAAGCAGTGTTTGGGTCAGACTGGTGGTTTCCAATGTTATACCCTCTATAACCCTGGTAAAACACTAGCTACAAAATATCACTTGGCTAGAGAGAACTTCTCTTTAGCTTGATCGGTTGAGTGTCAGACTAGTGAACCAGAGGTTTTGAGTTTGATTCCAACTATCAAGGCCTTTCAGCAGACGAGAAATATTAAGAAAATGAGAACAGAATAGTGTAGAGTGATGGAAGAGAGTGGGATATACAGGTGGAGTAGAGAAGGAGTGTTTTCATTATTACAGATTATTAATTATAGACCTCTACCAACTCTTCATGAATTTTGATAATGGTTTTAAAAGTTTGTCTAAAATTCATAATAAACAGTCCTTTATGTTAACCTAACCCTAACCTCTGGTTTTATGCTATCACATACCTGCTCTTTTAATCCTCTCATTCTTACCTTTGCTTTTTAAATCAATGACTGCAGCCAGGATGTTTTCATACGATGTAGTTTTTAGCTCTTGATTGAGACATTTCTTCAAGGTTAATATTAAGTTTTCTGTCCATACCTCACGGTATTCTGACTTCAATCTTGTTGACCATCTGATGTGTTGAAGGTGAAATTTATCTGAATGTTCATGAGCAGTGGAGTTAGCTTGTAAATATCTGAAATTAAAACATTGCTTTGTTTAGGTATCATCCGCTGTCATTGCACTATCCATGTAATTTTATCTCATCTGAAGTCTATTTGAAGTATTTTTATGAAAATAGTTTCAGGATTTTGTCTCACTTCTCCCCATTGGTAACAGTAAATTATGAGTAATACAGATTTTTGTGTTTCGATCTATTTCAAAGAGGTGATTTAAAAGTTCTAGAAAAAAGACCAGAAGCTCCATGAGAAAACCGTCAGTAGTGCCACAACCCAGACCTTTCAGGCTTCAGTTAGTGATCTCCAGCAACAATAAGAAACAAGCACCTCACTCCTATTTCTTGTGAGGGGAGAGTATGTAACCCTGGTAAAATACTAGCTGCAATATACCTCTCGGCTAAAGAGAACTTCTCTTCAGCTCGCTTGGTTGATTGTCAGATTAGTAAACCAAACGTCCCGTATTCGAATCCTTGTGGAGACATTGAAATAGTGACCTTTGCAACACTTATATCTATATAATGTTAAATATGGTCTCTGTCACTTAGCTGATGGAACATGCTTATTTAGCCCTAATGAAAGAGCCGGAGACCCGAGTTCGATTCCTGGGCGGGGCACTCGACGAAAATATTGATTTTCTCTTTTCTGTTATATAATGATTCCATATCTTCTCTGTAATCCACTCTGTCATATATTTGACAAAAAATATATAAACTTTAACTAATCCTTTTTAGATTTCTCCGGGCGCTTGACAACAGTCGTTCGTCGTCCTGATTAAGCTTACTCAAACTATTTACGGTGTTTATGAAATATATACCTATTATCAAAGATTCGTTCTGATGAAGATGATTGATATCTTCTACATGGTTTTGAAGAACTAGTATATCTGTCTAGCCGGTGGACGGAACACAACACACGTGCTACTCTCTCTACGCCTGTTCGCAGCCGACAGTAAGTCAGCGACAAGGCAGCCATCTTTCTCTAGTTCGTTGTGCGAAACACCGCGCCGACACAAATATAGTAACACAAACAGTCCGCGGTCATACCCATCTCAAAGCGAGTGTGCTGCTACATTTCCTTTGTAAAATTACGCTCAGTATTTTGCTTTTAAGGGGAAATGATACCAAACGTTTGTCGCTAATACCGAAGATCGACATTTAAATAATAAGGAACTCTTATTTGGAAAAATATTACAACATTACTGTATATGATTCCTGTTCGTAAATATTAGTTTAGTTTAGTTTATTACCAGTGCAGGATCGTTACGATCCTCTATACCGGTCTCGGTGATACAATGATAATGTTTATAATTATTGTCATTTGAGACGTCAGATCCAGGAACTACAGAATTTCTGCTTTATAATTATATACCAGTTCTTGATTTGCCCAGTGTTCATCTAATCTATTTTTGAAAAGAGTTAACTGTTAGTGCCGATACAATACTCCGGAAGATTGTTCCATATTTTGACCACACGCAAAGCAAAAGAATGTTTCCTGATGTCAAGTTTACAGTGCTGCATGTAAAGTTTTTGGAGTGACCCCTTGTCCGCTGAGTTTGAACTTTGTCGATCCACAATTTAAGGAAACCAGCAGCGTTACTATCACAAAAATTGTTCGTAATTTTGAAGACTTCATTCATATCCCCATGAATCCTCCTGAATGCCAATGTTGGTAATTTTAGGCGTTTCAGTCTTTCCGAATAAGTCAGTTCCGTAAATCCTGATAATTGTTTTGTTGCTCTCCGTTGCACTGCCTCGATCATATCTATATGTTTGACTTTATATGGATGCCATACAGTAATAGAATGTTCCAGATGAACCCTAATTATTGTTTTGTACAATAATGGGAAGTTATGTTCATTGAGAAATTGAAACGTTCTCCTTATTAGTGCAAACATAGAGTTCGCTTTTTTGACCTGTGTACTTATGTGTTCATCAAATGATAAAGAATTGTCTACAATTACTCCTATATCTTTTTTTGGTAGACTTCCTGTAATTCTTCCTTGTTTAAATAATATTTTCTGTCTCCACTTTGCCTGCCAATGTGCAAAAATTTACATTTCTGAGGATGAAATTTCAATAACCATTTTGCACAGGAATACGCCTATTTGGTCTCCAGGTTGAGTAAACAGCTTATTATGAAAATTATGAAGATTTTTTATACATGTTCTATTTTTGAATGTTGAATCATTATGAAAAATATTCAGGTGTATACCAAATAAAATTGTTAAGTTACTGAAACTAGCCAAGCAATACTATATCAGAAAATTGGGTAGGTGGGGAAGGACATAAACAGTTTATTTAGTGACAATTTCTTAGGAGGGAGGTTAACAGCTTTGAGTGTTTTTGACAAATGGACAAAAAAACTAGTCAAACAAAATTACTAAATTGTGAAATTAAATATGTCCAGTAACACATGAAACTCAGGGGTTAGGAGGGGGTGGGTGGGGGCTCAGCCAAGCAATACTATATCCCTGAAACTAGTCAAACATTACTGGGTTGAGGGGTTAGGGAGGACTCCCTGAGAAACACAATTTACCCCGAGTAAGGATCTAACCTCACACCTCGGACCTCCACTGAGAAACACAATCTACCTCGGGTAAGGATCTGACCTCACAACGCGGATCTTCAACCAAGATTACATCAGTCTGTTTCTCTACTGACTGACCTATGACCTGTCACTTTTCAGGTTGTGAAGTATATTAATTTCGAACCTGATTCAAATTTTGATTTCTGCGAGCCTTCTGTAGATTTTTATGTACTTAGACACTCCTCTAGACAGGAAAATTTGAATTCTATGAAATACAGCACATGATATATATAACTTAGAAGAAAAAAATCAACACGGTCATCTTCAGGTACTGATTGTTTCGACATCATACTAATACTGTAACGTGATGTAGATTAGAGAAATGTTCATGTACGGAAGGTCATTAATGGACATCCGGGAAATTATTCAACTCTGTTCAACACTAAACTCTAGTCTGGGTTTATCCCCAAGGCTTTCTCAATTAAAAACAGGCAAACTATTAGTTTTTTATTTTAAATTTCATCTGACTCAATTGAATTTTGGCTTCACTATTGTACGTATTGTACTTTGTGTACGAAAGCATCCGAAAGAGTATGGACCAGATACAGGGAATGGATCCGTATGTGGTATGTATCTTAATGTTTTTTTCTCTATTTTAGATCAAATGATAAGTGAAAGTCGCAATAGAAAAGCGAAAAAAGTCTGTAAAACGGTAAAAAAAAAAAAAAAAAAATGACCACCATGACGTCGTGACTGTAACAAGGGTTCTCACACATGGAAAAAATAACTTCAATGGTATTTCTGCGCTCTGTTAGATTTCTTTATTAAAGTAAAGATGTAAAATATAAAACATAAAAATTGATGCATTGTGTATCATATTAGATTACATGAAAACTATAGATAAACGAAACTAACATTATAGCCGTAACTGAAATATGAATAAATACGAGTGAATAACAAAAAGCTTTGAGCCACACACAGTGTTACGTGTGGGGTAATCACACAGATTTAATATTATCATTACTATCACCTGTTACAAATGTAACGTTTTATCATTCCGCCCTAGTAAGTTAACAGGAAGCGATGGAATGGAAGCGTCATTTCTAAAAAAGCAAGGAATTCAAAGGTCGCATGGCTCACCAAGAAGGTTACGACGCAAATCGTTCGGGACAACAGTGACTCACATCGACTGCTTGCCGCTTGGAACCACAATTAATAGGAAGTGTTATGCTAACCTCCTAAAGCAGGTGCGTCAATCAATTAAGGAATAATGCCACGGTGGGGGTGGGGTCCGTCAAGGGATTCCTCTTCACCAGGAGATGCGACACAGTCCATACCAGTTGACGAGTTAGAGGGGGAACGAAGGGAAAAAACATTCAGGGTCAGAGATGTGACGTTGAAAGGGGACTATTATTGAAAAAATAAAGCCGTTTGGATTCCCATTTCCTGCTATTTCTGTGCGAGGCGCAAACTGTTCTGATATACCCTCCTGATACCAGTACCGAGACGAAGCGGCATTTTAAATACAGCAATACATGAATCACCGATTAGCTTGTAATAATCACAATTATAATAATAAAAAGTGAGAATATATTTAATTGAACCGTTGTTGAGTCAAAATCGTTAATATTACATACACTGCATATAGATAGCCTGGAAGATATTACTGCACAACAGATATTATAAGTATATATCCGTGTCGTGGTACATTTACCCCCTACATGTATATACATACACTGCATATACAAACAATAAACGCTTTATTTCATCATTTAATTAATTTCTGTTCATATAAGATTAGATTTTGGGTGTTAAGTCCTGGCAACAGCTAAGGTTAAACACTAGACAGATAATGCCAAAAATTTAAATTTTTTGGACATAGTCGTTTTACACTTTATCCGGTCACAAGGTAATGATAACGGATGCCAAGTCTTCATACTGCAACTCGAGGTTTATCGTAACCTGCATACGTCGTTTCAATTCATTGGAATAGTGGCACAACAACAACAACAACGTGGTAATGCCAACAGATGAAAAAAAAGGTTGTTAAAAGAGAAACGAAAGGAGACACAAAAACATCAAATTTAGTCGCTTATTACGAGTGATGCAATATTGGGATATCTATCTGCCTACAGATGTAATTTCCGACAGCAGTGAGGGTGAAACTCTTTGACAAAAAATACTACTCATAGAACGACATTCATACAAAACACGTCGACAGTGTAGTGTCATTTACTTATGTGTTATATCCATTATTAATTAATTCGACCTTGAGATTTCAGACTCGTGTCCTCGACCTTGAACTGGTCTGTATTGATGCCTGTTTACAGATACCATCGCCAGATTGTTGTTGTGTGTTTAAAAATGAGAACGAAATTACCGAAGAAGATTATATATATAAACCTATCCATCACTCGGACGCTGCGAGATTCTGGTATGGATGACATACTATTTTCAACTTATTTGACAATAATTCTTTCCAAATACTTTACTCTTAATGGTCTTTAAATCAGATTCTTATTATGGTAAAGCTGTCTGAAGAATAATTACTGTTAGTTTTATTTCTAAGAAGTCAGACACTCGAAAATTGCACAAAAGACAAGAGAATAGCAACATTTAATATAGATAAGTTAGAGTTGTGTCAGACAATGAATTAAGATACATTATACAACTATTTCTCCCTTCAAGGATTCTTCAGTGATGCTTAAGGTCCAAGTGATCAACGTTGGGGGAGACTGAGGATAATTCAAAGTGATCGAAAGAAATTATAAAATCGATATAGGGAAATGCACTGGCCCCATAATTCAGTAAAATGTGTAACTTTTGTATTTCTGATAATTTTAGAAGGACATCAAGCAAATGCCTGTATTTTGTGAACTATGCCGCAGTTCGAGTGAATTAAAACGTGGCATGCAGATTTTATCACATCAACAGTTCTCGTGTTCAATGGTGGTCATCATATGGTCTAGTCGTTAAGTTATACTGACTTAACTAGAGGCAGGTAATAGTAATCTCGTTGTGACGTCATTCTCTGATCAAACGAGTAAACAATATTTCGTTTGTTCATTGAATGAATTGTATTTATGAATATGAAGGACCTGTCAAAGATTGTACAAAAATCCCAACTATGAATAATATATTTAAATAATACTAAAGTACGTGATATTGCAGATAAAAAAAAAAAGAAAAAAAAAAGAAGTAAACTGCACCATACCTCTAGGACTCGTCAATGGTAAAACGTCAAAGTACATTGTTAACGAAAAGTCAATCTTACCGACAACTTCAGTTGAAATTCGGCTTGTGAACTGAAATTGAAACATTTTCATGGTTACTGGAAGGACTATGGAGCAACACTTTGCCTGGTAGTGGTTCCGAGTTTCAAGTCCTCCTAAGGGGGATGAAGTGTGAAGGTTTGATATATTTATTTTAAACAAAACACACTGTGA